TAGTAGTAGTAGTGGTAGTAGTAGTAGTATTAGTGGTATTAGTTGTAGTAGTAGTAGTAGTAGTAGTAGTAGTAGTAGTAGTAGTAGTAGTACTAGTAGTAGTAGTAGTAGTAGTAGTAGTAGTAGTAGTAGTAGCTAGTAGTAGTAGTAGTAGTAGTAGTAGTAGTAGTAGTAGTAGCCTTATTATTATTAGTAGTAGTAGTAGCAGTAGTAGTAGTAGTAGTAGTAGTAGTAGTAGTAGTAGTAGTAGTAAATATAGTAGTAGTAGTAGTAGTAGTAGTAGTAGTAGTAGTAGTAGTAGTAGTAGTAGTAGTAGTAGTAGTAGGGGTAGTAGTTGTAGTCCCCCACGGGGTCGAACAACATTTGCTCCTGAACAATTTTTCGGACACCGTTTGGAGTGCTCTTGTAACCTTGTAACCCTGAGTGCACTCAAGGCCCTGCACATTCTCTGGCAGGCTCGTCAGACAAGGAGCCAGCGTCTCAGCATGTGCCCCATAGAAGATGTCATATTCTACGATGGCCCCGACGAGCGCGTGCCCTTAGACATCTTCTCGCAGCATTGGTTGTCGTTCGTCTCTACTGTATGGCGCTGACTTCTCACTGGCTCCCATGAGGAGCTCATTCGGCCGCTGGGCGGACGGAGGATCGCACCCACTAGGCAGCCGAATGGGCTCAGACGCCGGACGGGTTCAGAGGGACCCAGGGCCTTTGGGGCCCAGCCCATCGGGCGTTTCCCAATGGGGAGGCGATAAATGCGGGGGGCGATCAAGGGTTGCAGGAAAGGAGCCCTGAAGGGGCCCTCTGGGGTCCTGAAGGTGCACGAAATGCGCACCGTTCTTCACACAGCGCCCGAGCCCAGGAGCACACGGAGCTCTGGCTGAGAGAGTTGTTGCCGTCGTTCGTCCCTGGGACGCGGCCCACGCGGCGAATGGAGAAGCTCTGGCGGCAGGGCCTGCCGCCGCGCGTGCGAGAGGCCCACCTGTGAGCGTCGTCGTGGTGGTGGTTGTTATCATCGTCGTTGTCGTCGGGAGTGGGTAAGGAAACAGGACGAGAAGGGAAGAGGAGCCGGAGGAGGGAGGAGCGAGGAGGGATTGAGGATGGACGGTGATGATGATGGTGATGGTGATGGTGATGGTGGTGGTGGTGATGGTGATAATGGTGAGTCTGGTGATGCTGATTATGGTGATGATGCTGATGGTGATGATGCTGATGATGATTAGGATGACGATGATGATGATGATGATGATGATGATGATGATGATGATGATGATGATGCTGATGATGATGATGATGATGATGCTGATGGAAAGGATGATGAGTAGGAGTAGGAGGAACAGGAAGAGGATGATCCGGCATATGAGAGATATGATGAATGAGTGTGCTTTGCAGGGGGATGTGTAGAGACACGAGTAGGCGGAGGGAGGAATAGGCGGATCAAGAGGAGGAATCGGTGGAGGAGGGAGAGGAAGGAGGAATGGGAGGAAGAGGAGGAGGAGGAGGAGGAGGAGGAGGACAACAGCCAGAGCAAGCCCAATCTACATGCGTCGCCGATGCTGCCACACGCCCTCCCGCCCCAAGCCCCTGCGTAAGCCCCTACACGTATTCCTGCTCAGTACGGGGCGATCCTTGACAGACGGGCGCCCCATTGCCGTGCAATGCCCCTCCACGCATCATTATGTGTATTCCCGATGTAGTAAGGTGTAGGGAGGACACTACAGAACAAGCAAGTGCAAAGCGGCAGCCCAACTTTGACAGCAACCTTCCTCCATCCATGTAAGCGTGGCGCGTTTGTGAAGCATTGCGCGTTTCCGCAGCTGGTGTTTAACGAGCCTTGTATGGAGCGATACTGGCTTGCCACTTTCAGCCCAGGTGTATTGAATCTCGCTTCTGCCACAAGCTAGCCAGGTGAGCGCTGCCAACTTCAAACGGTCGGCTCACACGCAGAGCGCCATGCATTTCCGAGAGCTGCATGGCACCGTCCAGGGTGCCTGCTGCAGTCTGAAGGACGAAGTGGAACGGTTGGCACACGGCACGCCGATTCCAACAGACTGGGCGTTGCAGTCTGGGCTGCTCCCGCACTGCGCGGGGCTGCGTTGAACATCACGCCCTGTGCCCTCTGGTGGCCAGGCTTGAACTCAGGTTCCTTGGCATCTGGGAGGCGAGTTTAGAGAGTCTTCTATGATTTCGCAGCGTCAGGGATAAAGAGCTCGGGCTGAAGGCGCTAACCACGTACGCAGTTTTCGAAGCGACTAACATGTTCAGATCTGTTTCGACGCATTGGAGCATTGGTGCACAACAGGCGCGAAACGCCACAACAATTTGACGAGGGTCTTCGACGGTAGGTGGCGGCGCCCCGCCTCTATTCGTTGACGTGTGCTCGCCCTCTTCCCCTCTTCCTTCCCCCTTCCTCCCCCGCCTCGTCGTCCTCCCCTCGGGCCCTCTACTCCTGTGAGCCTCGGGAAAAGCTCGTCTTAAGCGGCTTCCATGTGCTGCCGTGGTGGAGGAAATTATGATCAGCACTTTTTTTTGTGTCACCCAGCTTCGCCCGATTGCCAACGCACCACTGACGAGCACGTCTTGCCTCTTCCTCAGACCACCGGCCGACTTGAACCACTCTTGGAAAATCTGTGTTTTTTGCGCAGGACTGTTGCACGAAGAAAAATATCTAAGCGTTGATGGTTTTGATGTTCTGGATGCATAAGGCGCCGCCCTTCATCCGTGTGACTGCTGCACACCTCAAGATGCGGTCCGACCGCTGGCATGTTGCAGAAGAGGGATGGATGATATGATCATCAAAGTACCAGTGTAAATATATGGCCCCTCCGGGTGATGCTGATAATGAGGTCGATGAGGAGGGACCTGGAGGGAGACGAAGGAGGACGACTAGGTTGAATCCAATGCCCAACCTGACGCATTTCATCTGGAGGAGAAGGAGGAGGGGGAGGAGGAGAAGTGGAAGGAGGACACGATGAAGGAGCAAGAGGAGGATAGAGGAACTATGAGAAAGAGATAGAGAGATACTATTCTGAAAAAGAGGGAGGCGAGAGGGGGACGATGAGGAGCAGGACCATGAGCAGCACGTGGATGACGACGATGCTTGTCCTGACGCTGATGCTGCTGTGAAGCATGACGATCACGACGAGGATGATGATTGTGATGACGATTATGGTGAATTGATGATGATGCTGATGCTGATCATGATCACGATCATGATCATGCTGTGGATGCTGCTGATGATGACGATGGTGGTGGTTGTGCTGATGCTGATGCTGATGCTGATGGCGACGATGATGATGATACTGATGCTGCTGATTGATAATGGTGATGATGGTGATGATGCTGATTATGCTGATGATGCTGATGCTGATGCTGATTATGATGATGAGGAGGAATATCGTGGTGATGAGGATGATTGTGCTGATGATGATGCAGATGATGAGGAGGACGATGATGCTGGTGATGTTGATGCTGATATTGATGATGATGACGACACTCACGAGGATGACGAGGATGATCAGCCACGCGCAGAGGGGGGTGGGGGGAGGGGGGAGGGCTTCTTAGAAGCACCCCTGCTCCTTGGAAGGTACGAGCCTTATCTATCATGTAAGGCCGGCGCCTTCCAAGAAGCAGCCTCCTTCTAAGGAGCCCTCCTTCTGCCTCCACCCCCTTGTGCGCACTGCCAAGATGATACTGATGACGATGCCGGTGCTGATGCTGATGCTGATGCTGATGCCGATGCTGATGCTGATGATTATTCTGAGGAGGATGAGGATGAGGATGATGTGTATGCTGCTGCTGGGGATGATGAGGAGAAGGAGGGGGATGATGATGATACTGATGCCGATACTGATGCTGATGTTTATGATGATGCTGATGCTGTTGCTGACGATGATTTTGATGATGCTTATTGGAGATTGATGATTGATGTTGGCGACGGCGATGCTGATGATGATGTCGATGATGATGATGCTGATGATGACCATGCTGATCATGCTGATGATGATGATGAGGATGATTTCGATGATGCTGCTTATGATGATCATGATGACGATGATTATTGTGATGACGGTGATGACGACTTTGATTCTGATGATGCTGCTGATGAAGATTGTGGTGGTGGTAGTGGTGTTTGTGATGGTGATGCTGATGATGATGATGATGATGATGACGATGATGATGATGATGATGATGATGATGATGATGATGATGATGATGATGATGGTTATGCAGATGTTGATGCTGATGTTGATGATGATGTTGACGATGATGATGCTGATGATGGTGATGATGATGATGTTGATACTGATGATAATGATGCTGATGATGCTGATGATGCTGATGATGATGATGCTGCTGATGAAGATGATGATGGTGATTTGTGATGGTGATGATGATGACGAGGAGGAGGAGGAAGAGGAGGAGGAGGAGGAGGAGGAGGATAATGATGAGGAGGTCCAGGAGGAGGGGAGGTGAATGACGGTGGGGGAGACGAGCAGGAATGCACGGAGGTGGCAGGGTTCAGAGTTGCGCACAGGCAGTGCCCCAGAAGTGAGCCTTGCTGGCCTCAGAGGGGGCCCCAACGCTGGCCTGAGGCGGTCTCGACACCCAGCGCCGCCTCCGGCGCCCCCTCCCCCCCCCGCAGGCGATCCGCGGCCCACGGTCGGGACCCACGGTCGGGATGTCGAGTTTGCTGTTGAGGGTTTGCCGGGGGGTCGTCTTTGCGCATGCCTTCGCTTGGCCGCCAGTGCAGCTTTCCACGTTCCACTCCCCCTCACTCTTCCCTGCTCCCCCCTCGTCCCCCCCTTCCTCCCTTTCCCCTTCTTCCCCCCCTTTCCTCCCCTTCCTCCTTCTGCCCTGCTCCCCCTCCTCCTGTCCCCCTTTCCCCCTCTCGCTCCCAATGTCTCTCCCTTCCCCTGCCTCCCTCTCTCCTCCCCCCCCTTCCTCCCTCCCCCGCCGTATAACCGAGATCCTGTGGCCGATGGCGATCGGCAACGTCCTGCGAATCACGCCCGAGCTCTTCCAGATCCACAAGCAGCAGGCGCTCGACGCGCGGCGGGCCGAGGCGGCCGCCGCGGCGAACGTGCTCATCACGCTGTCGGACCCGCCCCGCAGCCACGGCCGGGAGCGCAGCATCGAGTGCATCTCGGGCAGTGCCCAGGGGGCCACCACCAGGGGGTGTCGCCACCTCCTCGAGGAGGAGGAGGAGGAGGAGGAGGAGGAGGAGGAGGAGGAGGAGGACCCCTCAGAACACCACAAACCCCGGGACCTGCCAGAAAATGCCCCAACTCGTTCGACAACCTCCTCGATCCTCGAGGCTCGAGCATAGAGTCGAACGAGTCGGGGCATTTTCTGGCAGGTCCCGGGGTTTGTGGCGTTCTGAGGGGTCCTCCTTGTCCTCCTCCTCCTGCTCCACCTCCTCCTCCTCCTCCTCCTCGTCCTCCTCCTCCTCCTCCTCGAGGAGGTGGCGACACCCCCTAGTGGTGACCCCCTCTGGGCATTGCCCGGGCATCCCCTTCGACCTGCCGCGCACGTTCCCCACACTGGCATTCTTCTGCGAGGGCGGCCCTCTGCACGAGGACTGCGGTAGGATGCTGGAGGCGTACACCTTCTTCCGGCCAGACATCGGGTACGTGCAGGGGATGAGCTTTCTCGCGGCGGTGCCAGGGCTGGGGGGGGTCCACGCTGCAAGCGGGGTGACTAGGACCGAGTGAGCGGCGAGGGCCAGGAGCGTATCGGTGCATGCGCTCAGAGGCGGGGTAAGGAATTTGCTAGGGGCAGGGGGAGGGGACAGAATGCATTAGGGCGTCACCATTCCCCCCCGTCCTCCTCCCTACCTCCAGCGGTTGGGGCGTCTTTGCCCACCCCTCTGACGTCTCCATCCGCCGCGCTGTGCCATCGTCTTCTCGACAACACTCTTGCGTGCTCGCTCGATCCCGCGTCCTCCTCAGCCCTCCCTCTTCCCTCCCCTCCCCTTGCTCCTTCCTCCTCGCCCCCCCCCCCCCCCCCCCGCCAGGCCCGAGGGAGTTTCGTGCGCAGGCGCCAGCGCACCTGCGAATTCTCCCGCCGGCAAGGCCTCGCACGCGCCCCCCCCCCCCCCGCGCACCCCGTTCAGCCACGGCGCGCAGAAGCGCGAGCGCCAAACGATTTCTGTGCTGAACCTCTTCTCGGGCAGGAGGAGAGAAGGAGACGCCCAGACATGGGTCGAGCGTGATTTCACCTCGGCTACCATTCCACGTCGTTGCTACGTGTCGACGTCGCCATCAGCAGTGAACTTGGGGGTTTGGCGAGGAAGGACGCAGTCGAGGGGGGCGCGCACTTGCGCGGCGTGTCTGGAACGCAAGAGGGGGGGGGCGCGTGAGACGCGGGGCGCCGCCGGATGGCTCGACGGGACCCCCCCCCCGCGCTGTGCACCCACGAATGGTTTTGGGGCATCCCGCAAGTGACAGACCACCAGTGAACGCAGCTAGACGTTCAACCAGCTCCTGCGACTTATGCTACATTTCATGGCCTGCTGCACGGCGGCAGGCGCGCGCGCGCCTAGATGGGGCATCCTCTCCCGCCATGCTGGCGCCCGCAGGCCCCGAGCAGCTCTTGCCGGAGGCCATCCGCGCCAGCCCAGTTTGTTTCGCTGCCGACCTTGATCAACGCGTGCGCCGCCACCAGGACCCAAGCGAGATAGGCGCGGCCCCCATGAGGACTACCGGCTTGAGAGTGCCCGCGTTAGCAGCTCGCCTCCTCAGTGCCAGCAACGCAACGGCGGAAAGTGCTTTCACCCCAAGAGGCCCCCGCATTATGCTCTATGGTAAGACCTCCACGGGGGACTTCAAAACACGTGGGACAGATCCTTACCCGCCCGACATGTGCAGACATATTGCAGGGACCATCTCGGAAGCTATCCGAGCCCAGTGCGCAGACACAAACGATTGTGATATATATATATATATATAGATATGTATGTATGTATGTATGTATGTATGTATGTATGCATGTATGTATGCATGCATGCATGCATGCATGCATGTATGTATGTATGTATGTATGTATGTATGTATGTATGTATGCATGTATGTATATATGTATGTATGTATGTATGCATGTATGTATGTATGTATGTACGTATGTACGTATGTATGTATGTATGTGTGTATGTATGTATACATGCATGCATGCATGCATGCATGTATGTATGTATGTATGTCTGTATATATGCATGTTTGTATGCTTGTGTGTATGTATGTATGTATGTATGTATGCATGCATGTATGTATGTATGTATGTATGTATGTATGTATGTATGCATGCATGCATGTATGTATGTATGTATGTATGTATGTATGTATGTATGTATGTATGTATGTACGTATGTATGTATGTATGTATGTATGCATGTATGTATGTATGTATGTATGTATGTATGTATGTATGCATGCATGCATGCATGCATGCATGCATGCATGCATGCATGCATGTATGTATGTATGTATGTATGTATGTATGTATGTATGTATGTATGTATGTGTGTTTGTGCTGAGGAAGAGGACCCGGACACGGCGCAGGGACTCCTCGATCTTTGCGTCAAGGGAATTGCGGGGGAATTCAGCGAAGCACCCTACTCTGCGCATCCGCAAAAAAAAAGAACGAGGTGTGACTCAGAACTTCATGGATTCAGGGCTGCCGACCCCACTCTGATTCTGACTCTTAACCCGGCTCACGGACAGACCCCAGCATGTGATCCGATTCTTGCTGACGCGGCCCTCCCCCCCGTTTCACTGGACATGGGGGAAAAACGCGAGGTTGAGGTGTTCCTTGGCCCTTCGCGTCCCCCTCCCTCGCCGCCGCCCGAAGGGAGGAGGCGCGCCGACGCCGAGCACTTCGGCAGCAGGCAGCGCGCGACGAAGACGCGAGGAGGCGGGCCCCGTGGAGGGGCCAGGTCTCCTGGCCCCACGTGCTTCAGCCCGCTCCTCCCAGTTTCTTCTCATGGCCTTCCTGGGCCCCAACTCCTGACCCTCCTGTCTCTCTGGGCGAATCGATAGCCTGAGGCTCCAAGTCTGACCGCGGCGCCTCGCCCGGGGCATCGCCCCCCCCTCGCTCCCCCGCCCTCCCTGCCCGGCCCGAGGTGCTCCTGCTCTACCTGCCGCCCTACCCCGCCTTCGTGGGCCTCTGCAACCTGCTCAACTCGCCCTCCGTGCTCGGCCTCTACCGCCTCGAGCCCGGCTGCGTGGAATGCCGCGCCGAGGCCCCGCGCGGCGGGGCGGGGAGCGCGCGGCGCCGTGGGTTTCCCCGCTCGAGTTCGGCGGCCGCCGCGGAGGAGGAGGAGGAGGAGGAGGAGGAGGAGGAGGAGGAGGAGGAGGAGGAGGAGGAGGAGGCGATCGGGCTCGTCGTCTCTCGTCGCCGTCCTCTGCCTCGCCACGAGCGGCCGGGGCACCGGCTCGACGCCGGAGGGCGCTCTTCTCCGACGCCCCTTCCTGGCCACCGGGGGGGGGAGAGGAGGGGGGGGCGGGGCAGCAGGGCAGGGGGGGCGTGGAGAGGCGTGGGGAGGCGTGGAGGCGTGGAGGCGAGGCCCAGGAGGGCGGAGGGGAGGAGGACGGGGGGGGGGACATGGGGGAAGCTAGGCAGCGACGGGAAGCCCGCGAGAGAGAGAGAGAGAGAGAGAAAGAGAGAGAGCAGCGGGCTCGGCAGGGAACGGGACGTCCGGGAGACGGGGGGGGGGGGGTCGAGAAGGGGAGGGGGCCGACGCCTGGGAGCAGCCGGGCAGACGCTCGCCGGATCCAAGACGATAGAGATGGGGTGCCTGCTCGATGCTTCGGGTCCCCTCCCCTCGCGTTCCCTGGCTCCTTTCCCCCCCCCCCCCCCATTCCCTTCCCTTCTCCCTCGCTCTCCTCTTCTCCTCCTCCTCCCCCCTTCCCGCCCTCCTCCTCCTCCTCCTCCTCCTCCTCCTCTGCCTCGCTCTCCCCCATCCTCCTTCCCTCCTCCTCCCTCCCTCCCTCCCTGCCTCCTCCCGCCCCGCGGCGCGGCCCGGCGGGCCGCGGCGGGCCGCGGCGCGGCCGGACGGCCGCGGGCCGAGGTCTTTCGCCAGCTCTGCGCGGCCCAGATGCCGGCCGTGGCCAGGGTGATCGAGGAGGCGGGCCTGCGCCCGGAGATGTTCCTCATCGAGTGGTCCTCGGGGGCGGCCAGCGGGGGCCGTGATGACCCAGGGGGGGGGGGACGTCGCGGCGGGGGGCCATGGCATCCTCGCGGATCTCTCATGGCCCCTTCTTCTGATTCTTTTTCTTCTTCTTCTTCTTCTTCTCCTCCTCCTCTTCCTTCTTCGTCTTCTTTCAATGCGTCCCTGGGCCCCCTCTGGTCCGCGCGCACTCCTCGGGCCATGATTCGCGGACCCCCCCTTGGACGCCGCCCTCTCGGTCGCCCCCCGAGGTTCATGACGCTCTACTCGAAGTGCCTGCCCATCGACGTCGCGTCCGTGATCTGGGACCTGTTCCTGCTTGATGGAGAGGTGCGGAGGGCGGGTCGGGCGAAAGGGGGGGATTGGGAAAGGGGGGGTTACGAAATTTGCTGCATGCAGCTGGTTTCGGCCTCACCGAGGGGCCCATTCCTCGATACATGGGCGCCTCCGGCGCCGGGAGGCGCCGGGAAAATCAGCTACGTGAGCTGATTCTCAAACCCCCCCTTTGCTATCCCAAACTTCGCTCGACCCGGTGAGGGCGGCAGGGGGTGGGGGAAGTTTCGAACTCCCAACGTATCCGAGCCAGCCTCATCATAGCCCCTCTGCAGGGACCTCGCGCTGAGGCCCACCGCTGGGGTGGGTCCCGGGTCCAACAACACCACCGTGCCAAGCTGAAAAGCCCAGGAAGCCCTACCACGCAAAGCGTGCTGGTGGGTGCATGCGTTGCCTTCCAGATCATGGTGGCCCACTTGAGGTCGTGGGGCCTGCGCTGAGCGCCAGAGCGGCTCCTGGAGACGGAGGGCGGCGAGGGTGCGAGACAGGGGCCGCGCTCCATACCTGGCTACTTTCAGGAAATCGCCCTGCAACCATGTTGACCTCCCTCTTTTTCCCCTCCTCCACAGCCCTTCATCTTGTCGCGCTCCAGCGTCCTCCCTCCCTCCCCCCGAGGCTGCCTTAGATGGGGCTCTCCAGGGTAAGCACCCGAAGTCTGGATATCCCATTTGTGTTTGTCCTGAGTCTGCGAGTTGGGTCCTCCTGGGGCTGGCCGTCTCTTCTCCGATCGGAGCGCTGGCGGGAGACCAGCTGGCGCCTCTATGCATCGTGTACCATTGGGCCAGCGAGGTGGTCCTCTACTGCGCGGGGCTCGCGCTCCTCCGCGTCTCCGAGCAGGAGCTCCTCGCCGGGGGTGGTGCCGACCTCGAGGGCTGCGCGCGCATCCTGGGGGAGGACCCCGCGGCGTGGCCAAGTAGATGGCCGGCCGGTCCTCCACCTGTTTCTCCTCCTCCTCCTTTTCCTCTTCCTCCTTCTCTTCCCTCGTCGTGGTGGTCTTCTCCCTCCTCCTCCTCTTCCTCCTCCTCCTGCTCCTCCTGCTCCTCCTCGTCGCTCCTCGTGGTGGGCAGCAGTGGGCGGCACAGCCAGTATGCGGAGTTCTTGGGCACTTCGTGTCGTGCACCAGCAGCTCCGCAGCAGACTCGGAGGTGGGCAGCAGTGGGCAGCACAGCCAGTATGCAGAGTTCTCGGGCCCTTCGTGGCATGCACTGGCAGCCCCGCAGCAGGCATAGAACGGACCATCAGAACAATACGCGCCGCATATTCCAAGATTTTTCGATTGCTGGCAAACCGAAAAGTGAACCTGGCGCGCAGGGCAAAGATGCTGAACCACATGTCCCTTGGGACTATACGGTCACGAGCTGCTGCCTAGTCGCCGTCGCGGTCAGTATACGAAGCTTTGGACACATACAATACGAAATTTCTGAACGGGATGGCCAAAGTCAGGGTGCAGCTTGGGCAGTGGTTCAAGCAGCTTTAATCGAGAAGATCCCACATCACGAGGAAAGTCCATGTCTTCATTGATTCATACGCAGCGAGATACGAGGGCCGTGGCTCACAACGACATCATCTGCCAAGGACCCGACTGGATGGTACACCGTATCATTTTGACATTGCAGAGGGCTGGAATAAGAGGACAGGAGCAAGAAGGATGCGTGGGAGGGTGTTTAGCTATGATGGTTTCGGGTGGACAACAACACACACCCAAATGGGACGTGAGACTTGCACATACTACATAATATGACACATCACAAATGACAAGATCAAGATTTCTAGGAACCCCGCCTCCTTCGGCGCGTCATCATCATCATCATCATCATCATCATCATCATCATCATCACCATCACCATCACCATCACCATCACCACCACCATCATCATCAGCATCATCATCATCGTCACCTCCATCATCATCATGACCATCATCATCATCATCATCATCATCATCATCATCATCATCATCATCGTCGTCGTCGTCGTCGTCGTCATCGTCATCGTCATCATCATTATATTCGCATCAACATCACCAGCACCATCACCATCACCATCACAATAGCTCCCACCATCATCATCATCATCATCATCATCATCATCATCACCATCACCATCACCATCACCATCACCATCACCATCACCATCACCATCACCATCACCACCAGTACCATCACCATCACCATTACCATCATCATCAGCATCATGGCCGTCGTCGTCGGCGTCACCACCATCATTATTATCATCATCATCACCATCATCATCATCATCATCATCATCATCATCATCTTCATCATCATCATCTCCATCACTCTCATCATCACCACCACCATGATCATCATCAGCATCATCAGCATCGCCATCATCACCACCATCAACATCAACATCGTCAACATTAACATCAACATCAACATCAACATCAACATCAGCATCAGCATCATCATGGTGGTGGCGGTTGTCGTGGTCGTCGTCCTCCAGGACGGATGAAAGAGGAGGAGGAGGAGGAGGAGGAGGAGGAGGAGGAAGGAGGAGGAGGAGCAGAAGTGGGAGGACGGAGGAGGACGGAGGAGGAGGAGGAGAGAGGAGGAGGAGGAGGAGGGAGGAGGAGGAGGAGGAGGAAAAGGAGGAGAAGGAGGAGGAGGAGGAGGGTTGGAGGAGGATGTGGAGGAGAAAGATGATTATGATGATGATGATGATGATGATGATGATGATGATGATGAGGATGATGATGATGATGAGGATGAGGATGAGGATGAGGATGAGGATGAGGATGAGGATGAGGATGATGAGGATGAGGAGGATGAGGAGGATGAGGATGAGGATGAGGATAAATATCATGATGATAATGACTGTGTTGATCATTATGATGATGATGATGATGATGATGATGATGATGATGATGCTGATGCTGATGCTGATGATGATGATGCTGATGATGATGATGGTGATGGTGATGATGATGATGATGATGCTGATGATGATGATGATGATGATGATGATGATGATGATGATGGTGGTGGTGGTGGTGGTGGTCTTGGTGGTGGTGGGGTGATGATGATAAGGAGGAGGAGGAACAGGAGGAGGAGGAGAAGGAGGAGTTGGAAGAGGAGGAGGAGGAGGAGGAGGAGGTGGAAGGAGGAGGTCGAGGAGAAAGTTGGTGGGAGGAGGGCTGCGCGCACCCCAGTGGAGGGTTCGCGGCTGGTCCCGTGCTTGTCCCTACTCTCTGTCCCCATTCCTCCTTCTCCCTGCCTCGCTGTGTATCAGCCTGGAGCCGAGCCCGTTGCGTCTAGGTGAAGAGAAGGGCAAGAAAGTGCAGCAGTCGCGCGTCAAAGGACCAAAGAGGTGAAATACGCGTCCACGGTGCGAAAACGGAGGTAGAAGCAAAGGGCGGAAAAGGTCTTCCTCCAGATCCTCCTCCTCCTCCTCCTCCTCCAGATCGCGGTCCTCGTCGCTCTCTTCCTCAGGCCTTCCCCTTTGACTTCCCTTGCCGCTGTTGACCCCGCTGCCTTTTTGGCTCTTCTCTGCGTCCTCGTCTCCGAAGTCTTCTGTACGGTCTTGCCTGGCGTTTTGTCTCTTGGAGCGGCTGTTTCACAAGTTCGCAGGCTGCCATCCTGTCTCAGGGCTTGTTCCCTCTGCCCTCTGCCCTCTGCATGGGCATGGGCAGGGGACGAGCACGACAGGGTCCGTCGTACGGCTCTTAGTGCACAGCTGCCCGGCTGGGACGGTCGCGCACCAGCCACGCACCTCGGCCGAGGAGCTCCGGGAGCGCGCCAATGACCCGGACGAGCTGCTGTGGCAGCTGAGCGAGGCCGAGCGCCGGGCGCCGCCGCAGCTGCTGGCAGAGATCCGCAGCATCGAGAACGCCGAGTTCGGCTCCACGCCGCTGCCGGGCCTCGGGCGAAGAGAGAGAGAGAGCTCACGTGCGTATGACCGCCACGGCGCGTGCGCCGATCCTGGCCGGGCCGCCCCGGGCTCAGGGTCGGGGTATTGTATATATGCGCATCCCCGGCCAGGCCATGCATGGCGTGCGCGCACCGCTCCTGGGCCCAGGAGGGGCCCGGCCAGGATCGGGCGAGGAGTCAAGTCGGGCCCGTCCCTCTGCACGAGGAGAATTCACAAAAATAGTCAAAACATGGTGTGGGGACTATTTCTTTGGAGTAGCTGTTTGACCATTCTGGAATCTTGGTTGGAGTATGTTTGGCTTCTCGTCGAAGCTCCGCCTGTGGGGGGACACGCCCGACTCTAACCCTGGAGGCCGGGCTGGCGTGCTCGGCGCCGGGGCGGTGGCGGCAGGCGCTGCAGGGGCCCCTGGCGCTGGCGCGAGCCTCGGCAGCCCAGGTGCGGGCAGCCTGGCAGGCGCTGCGGCGCCGCCGTTGCAGCGCGGGTTGGCGGCCGTGTCGGCGCTGAGAGACTCCATCGTGTCGCGTTGGCGCTAGCGGCCGGGGCTGGCAGTCGGCTCGGTCGAAAGCGTTCTGCTCCGGGGCCGGAGGAGGGAGGGCAGTGGAGGTGCAGCCACGTGTGTAGTACGTGCGAGAGGCCGTGCCCTTCCGGTCTTGTCGTCGCTCTCTCTCTCTCTCTCTCCCACTCTCCCTCTCTCCCCCTCCCTTCTCTTTCTATTTGAATCATCTCTCTCTGTGTTTTGTGTACTCTCTATCTCTTTGTCTCTTTCCCTGAGCCAGCGGTCATCGCATCATGCATAGGGTCTGGTACACCTGCTACGTTTTCCTGTCTAATGTGTCCGCTGCAGCCCTCCAGGAAGACAAGGGGAACGAGCAGATAGCGCGTTAAGCACAACTTCTGCACACGAATGCTGCATACCATTCCGAGATGCGGCGGCGCTGAGTCGACGTGCGTAGTTATACATGCCCACAGCTTGTGGCCTATGCTATTTTGCGACAGTAGTGCAAGCCGATTGCGTATAATACCGCCAGAGCTCTCCTGGATGTCTGCGCATTGTTCAGAGCAGTGAATCCATGGAAAGGTGAAGCAAAACCAGTACGAGAAGTGGATGCGGTCCCAGGGGTGGGCACGAAATCAAAGGGGGGGTCACGGCGGATAATTACGACTACGGGGGAGCAAAGATGCGCGCAGCCTGTCATGCGTGAGCCTTGGCTCTCGTGGCGACGCCGCGGCTTGGCTGGCGCCCTGGAACACATGAGAGGGCCCTGCCGCAAGTCTCGGGCCTCACAGCGCGTTCCGCGGCCCCCTCCATCCCTGCTGGCCTCCCGGCCCAAGTGACATGGAAGCGAGAGAGCCGTCTGCAAGAAGACGTCGCCAGAGGTGCGTTGACTCCGCCTTCCGCATGCAGGTGGCTTACGTCGCTGGACTCGACGGCGCTCACGCGGAAGGGCTCAGATGCTCCAGAGAGGCCGTGGCGAAGTGGGGCGCTCCAGGAAGGGCCTAGCCTTCGAGGGATCGACGGGAGGCTTGCACCTCGCCCCTCGGCGGACGGAGGCGGACGGGCGGCGGGAGCAACGCGGGGGGTGCCCCGCGGGCGGGAGGAGAAGACGCGCCTCCGAGGAGCGGCAACTTCCCGTGGACTCGGGGCTTCCGCTGTGAGCCGAGGTGCTCCGAGTGGGCGCCGAGGGAGGCCCGCAGAGCAGCGCCCCCCCCGCCGGCGCCCCCGGCCTCGCGCCCGCAGGGCGTCCCTGGCGCAGCTGCGGAGCTCCTCCGGGGGCGGCGGCGGCCCCGCGCAGCGGCGCGCCGCGGCGCTGCTGGGGCGCGCCGCGCGGCGGTCGGGCAGCGGGCTGCTGCAGGCGCCCCGAGGGCAGAGGGGGGGGGGGGCAGGGGAGGGGGGGGGGGGGGCAAGTTAGGTGCGCTCGCGTCAACATCTGACATCCTACCCCTCCCTCCCATCCCTTACCATGGCGCTGATTTTCTCTATCCGCGGACGCGTGTCGTAGCGGACCTGTGGCTCCGCGCGCGTGTGCGTAGGGGGGGGCAGGGGAGGGGGGGGAGGCACATGCCTGGGTCGGGAGGGCCGAGGTGGGAGCGGGGGGGGCGGGGGCGAAGGCCGGCAGCAGACCCTGGCCTGTTTTGTTCCGGGCAGGCTTCGCCGTCGGTGCCGCCACGGGGGCGTTTGTCCACTCGGGGCAGGCGCCGCCTGGCCAACAGCGGAGGCTGCCAGGGGTGGTCAGCATCCGCTGTTGGGCATCGCCCCCCTGCTTTCCGTTCTCACGTCGGGCGAGCCAGCAGGGGGAGGAGGCTGGGCCTGCCACGGGCAGGAGGCAGATGCGGGACGGCGGAGAGGATGCCTCGGGCCTGCGGCCAAGCCGCAGGCCTGGCCTCGGCCAGGGCAGACCCAGGGGTCGGCAGATCCCAGGACGAGGGGTGTGCGGCGGGGGGGGGTGCAGACCCCCCAGGACTCGGGAGGCGGGCGGGGAACGGCAGACCGAGGGGCCACGCAGTTCGGCAGGACACTCGCAGGGCACAGGCCGAGCCCGCTTTGGGCCCGCAGGCTCCCCGGGCCTCCCGCCTCGGGGCCTCGACCTCTGACCCGGAGGTCTCCAGGCGAGGTCGGAATTCCTCGAGGTCCGGGAGGTCAGGCCACGGGTCTTGTCTCGAGATCGTCGAGCCGCTGGGGAGAGCACCATCTCGCCCCCCGTCGCTTCCACCGTCGCTGTTTCTGAGTCAACGCTCCCCTCGTGCGTTCTTTTGCCGCGCCGCCTTTACCATCCAACTGATTGTTGGCGGCGCCACCTTATGAGCACTGATGTTGATGTTGCAGCAATCTGCGCCCAAAGGTAGGAGAAAGACCCGCTCGCGCGCGCCCTCCCTCCGGTCGGGCGCTTCTGTCTACACACGTACTTGCCTTAGCGCACCCGCTGAACGGACATGGTAATCCCTGGCATCAAGTACATCCTTTCCGAGACTCAACTTGGGACAGCTACTACAAGATGGTCTACCAGAACATTCAGAACATGAGCCTATCAGCAGGATCACGATCATGCCCGAATCCGTGATGCAACATGCTGGTTATTCGCCGAGGCCGCGAGATCACGAAACTGTGCTTCCTGTTTCGAATATGGATGTACCAAGTAATAAAAAGCAGCGCGCCACGGCTCAAAATAATCCAACATATCGTCTTCGAGACCGAGTCCCCTGACTGCGTCGGGGGCTCCGGCTCGCGTCCTTCGCAGAATCTCCTCAAGAATTTCCTCGCTGTCGTCGGGATATACGCCGGCTGCCGAGGGCCCCAGCCGCCGTGACACTCCACGGACGGGCGTGGACAAGGCGGAGGCGGACGCTGAGTGGCACGGATCAAGCAACCCGGACAAGGAACCAGTGCCGGCTGGCGTCCATCGAACCTATACGTGACCTCTTCCGACTCATCGGATGACCAGGATGACCACGTAACCGTCTCGGTGGAACAAGGGGGGTCGGTCAAGTCGACCCCCCGACTGAACTAGGAAACGACAGCTGAAGTCCCACCCGGGGGGGCCTGTGGTCTCGGGTCGTCCCCGATATCGGCTCAGGAATCATCGCCAGCGTCAGTGCCGTTCGACGACTGTGTCGCCGAAGCTGCGTGGGAAGATCTGCAAGACGAAGCGGCAGAGATGATGGCAGGCCTGCCGCGGTTGCCCAGCAGAACGCCGAAGAGGCAGTCGGGTCGAGAGTGCCCGCAGCGAAGCAGCCCCGGGAGGCCATAACCTTGTCAATCAGATCTTCGCTGGTGAAGCGGACCAAGGCAGAGGGCATACTGGAGGAGAACCAGATGCTCGACCCGGGGGGGACTCCGGGGGCTGTGCTCCTGGGTCACCCCCTGCCGGTCAGTCCGCAGACGATTCTGTGCGCAGGACACCTGGACCTCAGTGCGACGAGGGCCCCCATCCCTCGCACTCGCTCTCCGCGGGCCAGGGCACGGGACCCGACCGACGTAGGGCATCGAGGGTCCCGTCGGGCGCATCGTCGTCTTCCGCTCGCACGGCAGCGTCTAACGAATCAAGTTTCCGCATGAACGAGTCATGCGCCACCAGAAACCCTGGTTGTGCGGCATTCCCTGAACACTGCTGCCCGGGAAATCGAGGACAGTGTAAGAAGGCAGTCTGTCGCGAGTGCTCGGTCAGTTGCCGCCTGTGCAACTTGATCTTCCCCTGCCCGGAATTGTCTGCCCCTCTCGCGCACATGTGCATTGCGCTGCGTGGCATCGGCTGGGAACAGGCCGAAGAGAAAAGGCGGGGGGCCATGGCCGAAGAAAAATACCAGGAGTTGGCGCACGTGCAGGACCAGATCATAAGATCCGCGCCCTCCGTGGCGCCAAGATTCGCAGAGCCGCTGGTGGCCATGGAGCTCAGGATGGGGCTCAGGCAACCGGCATAGCGGGTCCCGCAGCCAGGACGGCGATGATCAGTGGAGCGAGGACAGGCGCTGGCGAAGGGAGAAAGGCCGGGGACATACCGGAGCTGTGCTCTGAGTGGCCTCAGGACGTGCTGGAGCTGTGCTCCGAGCGTTGCGGTGTGGGCCGCGGCGCGGCGGCAGGCTGTGAAGGCCTTATGAGCCGATCGCTGGGCGGCGTGAGCCAGCGCGCACATGTCTACGTGGGACTCGCCGGCCTGTTTCGGCTTGTCCCCAAGGGCCGTGTCAGGAGTATTTCCTTCCCTTCCGCGGGCGCCGTGACATATTCTAGCGGTTGGCGCCGTGGGGGCCGAAGTTCTTTGGGAGGGGTGAAGTCTGACCTCGGGCTCTCGGGACGCGCCGAACTCGGGCTGGTGCGTCCCGCCGCAGCTTGAGGCGTTAGCTAAAGGTTGATGCCCACCCGTTCGCGGAGTCCCCGCGCTGGGCTGGCCGCGGGGGAAGTCATTAGCTACGCTCCCCTTGTGCGTTCTTGTGCCGCGCCGCCTTCACCCTCTTACTCGGGGTTGGTGGCGCCACCTTATTAACATGGATGTTGATATTTCAGCGATCTGCATTCAAAGGTAAGAGAAGACCCGTTATTGCGCGCGCCCTCCCGCCAATCGGGCCCTCCTGTCTACGCACGTACTAACCCTAGCGCATCCGCTTAACGGGCATAGTAGGCCATGGCATCAAGTACATCCTCTCCGGGAATCAACTTGGGACCATCGCGAACACACATAACATTCATAACAAGAGCTTAACAACAGGATCATGATAATTACCGAGTCCATGATGAGTCGGCAACATATAGTTTATCCCCCTCCACCTGCGATCTGCGATGAGCGATCCGTCGGCATTGGTACCACGGGTGGCGCTGCCAGGCTTTCCCGGCGGCGCTCTGGCACCAGGGAAGGCGTAGAAGTAAGCGTTCCACTTGTCCCTTTTCTCTTCCTCCTTTCCCTCCTCCTTGCTCGGACCACTTCCGCGGAACCACATGATACTACTTCTTGGCACGCGGCCGCCTCGCGCCCGCTCTCCCTCCCACGCCGTGCCGCGGCAACCGCCAGGCGCTGGCGGAGCGCGCGGCGGAGGACCGCCGCGGTGGCCAACCCAATGGCAGGCAACGGCTGTCGGGTACACCCCTACGGGTCGCCAGGAAGAAGAGGTCCTCGATCGGCGGCTCAAAGCTGCGGCCCTGAGGGATGGGGCCCTAAAGATGGGAAGGGGCCCCAGGTTGAAGTTACATTGTTTGAGGCCCCTCATCCTTAGCGCCCCATCCTTCAGAACCCCATCTTTGAACCGCCGTCTGGGGGAAATGCATGTCAGAGTTGTTCGCAATTTCTGTTTTTCGGGGCCCTTCCAGGGACCAGGGACCGTCAAATAGGGGGACCTGTTCGCCTCATGCGAGCCGTGCGAGCCATTCCCACCAGGACCCTTTTCCACCAGGACCCATCCCACCACTTCGGACGGAGGAATGCAAGGATCAGGGGTCCCCCACCACAAGTTATGGGGGGAGGAAGAGGAGGGGAATGAGAAGGAAGTTTGAGGAGGATTGGGGAGGTGAGGGAGGGGAGAGGGATGCGCAGGGGGAGGGGAGGGGAGAAGGGCGCGGATGTGGAGTGGGAGGAAGGGAAGGGGGACGACTTTCAAAAGTCGGCGAAGTTGCCGTGGTACGTGGGTGGCGACCTGACGTCGCGTGGCACGCAGTTGCTTGTGGCTCATTGGCCCACTTGTGGGATGCCCAACGTTCATACGGAAATGTTGATGAGGAAGAGGATGTGGAGGAAGAGGAGTAGGAGGAGGAGGAGTGATGAGGAGGAGTATGGGAGAGGTGGATGGGGAGGGAGTGGAGGGAGAGGAGGACGAGGGGGAGGATGAGGAGGGGGGTATAACTACGTGCTACATACATACCGCCGCTGGATATACAAGACGTCAAGGAAGAGAGGCAGAGCCCTACACACCTACAGAAGTCGCACATTAATGAATACAATACCGAGTAGATGCCACGCATGCCACACCATCGCAAGACTGACCAACCGCATCCCCCCCCAACAAAGGGTACCGGACCGCCTACATCATCACTATCACCCGCCTGCTTCACCTACCTACCAAGGGATACCACGGGACAGGTCCGCGTATGACTGACGTTTTTTATTTGTAAATGTGCATGTTCCCTAGCTGTTGCCCTGGCTAGTCAGGCACCCTAATCGGCAAGCTACTCACCGTCCCGGCAGTGCCTCGATGGCGACCACCATGAAGTACTGCGCGATTGAGGTGAACAATGGTGCCATATGCGATACTTTGTTCATGGAAGTGTGCGTCTGCGACGCGGATGCCGTGGCGCCGCCCCACTCCGAAGGACGTCGACAACAAATGGCTCCAGGTGCTCGTGGAAGAACACACGCTCAAGTACGACGACTACGACGATAAGGAACGTGCCTGCTTCAAGGCCAGTGAGGTCAGCGACACGCTGAAGCACTACATGACACGTCACCTGCACACTTGGCGCAAGTTCTACCAGCGCTCCGTTGACTACGCTGAGAACACCTCCACCATCGACCGTCGCCCAGGTTTGGTCCACGACGAGAGCAACGATTTGGTTCCGCACCAGCGGTGCATCTACCTTGCCGCGGAGCACTACCCGCAGCAGTTGAGCGTTATGTTCTACTGCGAGCCCACGGGCGACATCGTGCACACCGATAATTGCCCGCTGGCGTCCCCAAGGTGAACTTGCATGCCAGGCTACGAGGTGGCGTATTTGGATCAGATCGTGGTATGCAACGTTTTCAAGCAGAGCGGCATCGCACCCGCGACTGCCAACCTGCACTACACGCGGGACAAGATCAACGAGGTTTACGACTGCATCCGCATACGCGACGCGTCCGGCAATTACGCCGAAGAGTACAAGTGAAAGGGCGTCAACAGCTACGGCGATTTCAAGCTCGGCTGGTTCCTGGACGCCACACTGGAGGACCACCTGATCCGCGAATCTCCACAGCTGGAGGGCAAGGGCGTCAAGTGCGACAACGTCACGTACTGCTCCAAGAGCGAGTGCCACGGCCAGAACATGGAGTGCGAGCGCAACAAAGACGACGAGGACAACGCCGACGCCACTCGCCAGGACAAGCGCCACAAGCAGTCCTGACGGGGTCCACCGTGCACTACGGCGAGGGTGCCAAGTCATAGAAGTACATGTCCTGCTCGACTGCTAGAGCAAAAGTATGTGCTCATTTTTCCCCCGTCCCTTCCCCTTCATCAGTCAAGACCCGTGCATCAGGAGGTATACGGATCACTATCTGCGCGCGCGCGCGCCTGAACACCACCGGACAACTGCTGCTTGCCAGCGCCGCGACCTTATGATGAACGACCTACCTACCCGCCTACGTACAGTGTTCTGTCATGCTTATCATGGATTTCGATCCCATTCAGTAATCACAGACACTCGTTGATTATTTACGAATATATCGGTTCAATACTGCCACGTACATACCAGCTCATACCAGCTGGCTGGTGCGAGCTACCACCGCGTCGACGATGCTACAGGAGAGCGTCTGTTAACCGAAGCCGGCATGTGGCTACGCAATCTTTCGTGCCAGAACAAGTGGGTACAGCTTGTTGCAGAGGTTACCTGCGGAGATGACGACAGACAGCACTCAGGATCAGCGATGACGCGTCGGCGCTGCGTCCACATCACATGTGTGCACAAGGCTAATATGATTTGGAGGAGCCTACGAGGTTACCATCGCTGACCGCCCCGCATAACAAAAACCACCGTGGTCCTTGCGGGATAAATAACGGCATGCCACCGAACAGCCACATCGTAGAGAGCCGTTCGCATGACGAGGCAGTGTGATTTCACTAGTACATGCCATGGGACCCCTAGAAGGAGGACTACGTCACGCTCGACATTGACACAGGCTCTCCCACAGCCGGCGGGCTCCGAAAAGCTATCGCTGCCAAGCTGTAAGGTCAATCGTGCAGTCTGGAACCGCACCAGTTTGCCCACATGCAAGGCCACTACAAGAATTACAACTACAACGAGTACGAGTTTGCAATCGCAGCCACACTACAGCACGTGCCTACAATTGCAGATTGTACCAAATACTTCGTGGACACTGGGCTCACAGGGCAACGCCATCACACAACACTACTACAAGAACTCCGCCCTACCATCCCCAACGGGTACGCACAACAAACGCGCATTGCAGACGATCCAGTATGGACACGCCAAGCGTGCGCGGGGCAGTGCCCCCGAGGATGAGTAGTAGAAAGAAGTTTGTAATACTACCCGAGCACAAGCTGGTGCGTCTACTGACACCGTACTACTTTACCGAGTGCCTGGGACGTACGACGTCGACAGCGCTAGGCACAGTGTGCGCCGTGTGCTACGCGACGCGCAGGGTACGCCGTCATCGGTGCGTACTGCGTGGTGCAGAGAGCGGCCCCGCCGCTCCCCTCCATCCTCACCTCCGCTTTTCCGTGGGCCCCAGGCTGGTGTCGAGGATGGGCGGGTGGCCCCCCCCCTCCTCTTCGGAAGGCTCCCCCCTGCTCTTCGGAGGTAGGGGGGTGGCCCGGGGGGGCCCGTCGCCTCCGCCCGCGGCGTGCGCGCACGCCGGTGCGACGGCGCTGGTTGGGAACGCCCGATGGCGCCGTTTACGTAAGAAGGAGGAGGAGGGGGAGGAGGAGGATGAGGAGGAGGAGGAGGAGGAGGAGGAGGAGGAGGGGGAGGAGGAGGAGGAGGAGGAGGAGGAGGGGGGGGGGGAGGAGGAGGAGGAGGAGGAGGAGGAGGAGGAGGAGGAGGAGGAGGAGGAGGAGGAGGAGGAGGAGGCTCTCACCGTTGGGCAGCATCAGCTGTGGATATCGATGGCATCCCAAACATTTAGGGGCTCTCCATACCTGTGTGGAGCATGGTGGGCATGCGCGCGGCACTGGCAGGACATCGACGTCGACCACCGCAGCGATGTTTTTCCCGTCGCTGTTCCTTCCAATGGACGACGTGTCTCGCGCATCGCTTCGTCTAATGTAATATGCTGTTTTCTATGGGCGATGGCGAGGTGTGGTGTTGGTTGTGATTTCGGTTTAGTATCAATATCTTTTGGATGGGATGGGGGAAGGTAGGGTGGTGGGGAGTAGGGTCGAGAAGACGGAGAAACAATCGAACGAGTGAGGGAGTGAAGGAAGACGTGAGGATGGGGAGGGATGGATTGGAGGAGTGAGGGAGAGAGAGAGTGAGAAACAGCTAGAGAGAGAGAGAGAGCGGGAGGTAGGGCAGGGGGGGAGGGGAGAATGGTGAAGGGAGTGGAGGGTGTAAAGGAGGGGAGGAGGAGGAGGATGAGGAGGGAGGGGTGGGGGGAAAGAAAAGGGAGGGAAGATGGCAGGTTTGGGAGACCTTCGCGCCGACGCGCCGGTTTGAGTCACGGCAGCCCCCGTTCAGGACCCCTTCGTCAAGGTGCGTCAGATGATTAAGGACCTCCTGGTGAAGCTCATGGAGGAGGCCCATGGAGGAGGACGGAGAGGAGCAGGGCTGGGAGGGAGAGGAGGGGAGGGCAAGAAGGAATGAGCTGGAGGGAGGGAGAGGGAGACAGTGATCCACTGCAAGATCGGCGATGGATTTCAGGGTACTTGTATCTGTGCATACACGCGTATCTGCCCAGTGTGGCGGGAAGAGGGCGCTGTGTGGAATATGATGCGCTCAGGCAGCACATGCGCAGATCATACTTCTAAGATGCTCGCCAGGTGCTCTGGGACGCGATGTAGTCATTGGGTCTGTGCGTAGCCATCGTCGCAGATGGAGTATGATGCAACAAACTGTTGTATCGGCGACCTTGGCATCGAGTGTCAGCATCCAAACGCGTAGATGGCCAGCCCAATCGATGAGGTGATGCGTAGTGCACTGACTTATCCGCGGGCCAGTGTCACGCTGCAGCGGGCTCCCCCGCTCTACGGGCCCCTTCACCTTTCACCGTATCCTACGTAGAGTGTTCAAGTGTGTGGGCAAGTGCGGATGTCATGTAAAGTCAGCGTTTGTGCATTCACGTGTGCATGCCCATACTTTTTCTTCATACTTGCATGCTCGCCATTGCGCTTGAGCATGTCGCTTGGCAACGCTGCGGCGTTGCGTGGCTGCAGCGTTGCATGGTTGCTGCGCTTCCTCTTTGGGTCCTTCTGGGGCGGGGCATCTTTGAGGACCTTGGGGTGGTACAGAGGAGTCTTGGAACTATCGTGGGTCGGTCTTGGACCGCATTCGGGGATGAATGGTCGGTCTAATGGGGCATGCGCCTCCTTCGACAGCCCACGACTTACCGTCCTCCTGGTTCTGGTTTCTATAGGCTTTCAGGAGCTCTTGGGGCATCAGCACCGATCTCTCTCTCTCTCTATCTCTCTATCTATCTCTTTCTGTCTGTGTCGCTGTCTCTGTCCTTTTCTTTGTGTCTGTCACTGTGGTGTTTGTGTGGGTGTTTCTCTTTGTGTGTGCGTGTGTGTGTGTGTGTGGTCTCCCTCTCTCTTCCTATCTCTCCTCCCCCCCTCTCTCTCTTTCTCCTTCAGGTGCGCACCTAGTCCTAGGAGGCGTGCGCCAGGTGAGCCCGTCTTGCCTACATCATGCATTCCACATGCCTCCTCATACCCTCAGCGCTGCCTCGGGCTGTGCTGGCTCCCCTCCGGGGAGGAAGGGACTTTGGGGAAGGGGGAAGCGGACGAGCTGGGAGCACGCGCGCCACACCTGACATCCTACGCCGCCCACCCTTACTTACCCATTGCGATGTTTCTTTCGCTATTCGCTAACGGGTGTTGTAGCGGGCTTGGCTCCCCCAAGTGGCCCCATCGTATGATGCGCAATCAGGCTGGGGAGCGTTGTCATTTGCGGAGGAGGTGGCGGATGAGCAAGAGGAAGAGGAAGAGGATGAGTAAGGAGGAGCAGGAGGAGAGGAGGAGGAGGAGAATCAGCAGCAGGAGCAGGAACGTGAGGAGCATGAGGAGCAGGGGGACTTGGGATAGGCGGATGAGGGTAAAGGAGTGGGCAACAACGACGAGGGAGAAATCGGATGCATGAATGTGGGCCGCGCTGTGCCGATAGCTTCATTCAGAACGACGAGAGCAGCGCGCCGAGCTTGAAACGAGGTCAACCCTGAAGTGGGAACGCTAGTTAAACACAATAAGCTAGGTCCGACTGGGACAACCATCTAAGCAGCACGTGCTGAATTCCCATACGCGTAAAACATTGCATTCGGGAGAGGCAGCGCTCGCTCGACCGGTATACAGGGAGAGAGGCGCGCCGTATGCATATTGAGCGATCGACGATGAGGGTGAGGGGGAACGGGGGGAGCAGGAGGAGGAGAAGGGGAATAAATGGGGAGGAGGAGGAGGAGGAGGAGGACTGTGATAACTAGGATGCTGCGGATGCTGCGGACGATGATGATGGTGATGATGGTGATGCTGATGCTGCTGCTGATGATGATGAGGATGAGGATGATGATGATGATGATGATGATGATGATGATGATGATGATGATGATGATGATGATGATGATGATGATGATGATGCTAATGTTGATAATGCTGATGGTGCTGGTAATGCTGATGATGCTAATGATGATGACGATTATATTGATGATGCCGATGACGAGGATGACGATGATGATGATTATGATGCTGATGCTGATGCTGATGATGACAATGATTATGTTTCTGCTGATGAAGATGTTGATGCTGCTGATGAAGATGATGATGATGCTGATGCCGAATGTGATTGGCATGGCGATGGTGATGGTGATGGTGAGGGTGAGGGTGATGGTGACGATGGTGTTGATGATGACGAGGGGGAAGAGGATGAGTATGAGGATGAGGAGGAAGGGGCGGAGGAGGTGGAGGAGGAGCAGGAGGAGAAGGAGGAGGAGGAGGAGGAGGAACAGGTCACTGTCCTGTACCCTTCCGTCGTCAGAGAGCGAGCAGCACGCGCCCAGCTCGCGAGGCGAACGCGGAGGCAGACCACAAGGCGGTGCTGCCCGCGCCCGCCTGCCGACACCGCCGCGCACCGCGCGGCCGCGAACGAACTCGCGGGGGCTCTTGGCCGGGGGGGGGGGGGCTCGCACGCGACGCGGGACGCCAAAGGCTGGACCTGCGACCTGTCGTCGCTCGTATCGGAGGCACGCCGCGAGGGGGAGAGCCGCCCCCGCCCCTGGTGACCCTGTCCGAGCCTCGGCCGTCGCCCTGGCCGCGGCGCTGCTCCGACGAGGTCGGACCAGAACGGGAGGCGGGCAGCGCATGCGTTGGTTTCAGCATGTTCCGTTTGGCCGCCCCTGACGGCACACCTGACACTTTCCTCTGCCCCAGGTCCACCAGGTAGGCAGAGGGCGAGGTAGGGGGAGGAAGGGGGGGAGGAGGGGGAAGTGGAGCCTCCTGCTGCTGCTGCTGCTGCTGCTGCTGCTGCTGCTGCTGCTCCTCATTGTCTCTCTTCGCCCTACGGATGGTTGGAAACAGTTGGTAAAGGGAGAGGTGGGCTAGCTGAGGTGCGGCGGTCGACCTACAATAAGCACATTCATTTCGTCCCTGATCCGGGAGCTTGCGAGGATGAGACCAAGGAGAAGGAGCAGGAGAGGGGAGATGGAGGCCTGACAACGGACGCGGGCGTGATGAGGGAGGACTATGGGAGGAGCAGGAGGATGAGGATGAGGATGAGAAGGAGGGGAAGAGGAGGAGGATGGGGAGGAGGAGGAGGAGAAGGAGGCGGAGGAGGAAGATGATCATGAGGATGAGGATGAGGATGAGAAGGAGGAGGATGGTGTTGCTGATGACGATGATGATGATGATGTTACTGGTGTTGTTGGTGATGATGATGATGCTGAGGATGGTGATAGGGGAGGATGATGATGCTGATGATGATGTTGGTGGTGATGCAGATTATGCGGATGCTGATGATAATGGTGGTAGTTGTGATGATGATGCTGCTGGTGATGATGATGATGGTGGTGGTGGTGGTGATGCTGATGATGTTGATGATGGGGATGAGCAGGAGGAGGAGGAGGAGGAGGAGGAGGAGGAGGAGGAGGAGGAGGAAGGGGAAGAGGATGAGCGTGAGGATGCTGAGCAATCGTCTCACGGGTGCTCGAGCAGGTGGAGGAGAGGGAGGATGAGGAGGATGAGGAGGGGGGGGAGGTGGAGGAGACGGAGGAGCAGGAGGAGGAGGATCATGAGCATGAGGATGAGGATGAGGATGAGGATGAGGAGGAGCATGCTGATACTTCTGCTGGTGATGATGCTGAGCATGATGATGAGGATGAGGCTGATGATGCTAATGGTGATGATGGTGATGTTAATGGTGATGATGTTGACGATGATGCTGATAATGATGGTGATGGTTGTGATGATGACGCTGATGACGCTGCTGATGATGATGGTGATGACAATGGTGATGCTGATGTTGATGCTGATGCTGATGCTGATGTTGATGCTGGTGATGATGCTGATGCTGACGATGCTGATGATGCTGATGCTGCTGATCATGATGCCAATGCTGATGCTGCTGCTGTTGCTGCTGATGATGATGATGATGATGATGATGATGGGTATGACGATGATGATGCTGATGATGATGATGATGATGATGATGGCGATGCTGCTGACGATGATGCTGATGACTATGCTGATGATGACAATTATGATGATGGCGGTGCTGATAATGATGGTGATGATGATGATGCTGATGATGATGATGATGATGCTGATGATGATGATGATGATGATGATGATGATGATGATGATGATGATGATGATGACGATGATGATGATGATGATGATGATGATGATGATGATGATGATGATGATGATGATGATGATGATGATGATGATGATGATGATGATGATGATGATGATGATGATGATGATGGTGATGCTGCTGCTGCTGATGATGATGATGATGATGATGCTGATGATGATGATGACGATGGTGGTGGTGGTGTTGATGATGAGGTGAGCAGGAGAAGGAGGATGATCAGGAAATGGGGGATGGGGAGGCGGAGGAGGCGGAGGAGGAGGAGGAGGATGAGAAAGGGCAGGAGGGAGGAGTTGGAGGAGGAAGAGGTGGAGGTTGAGGAGGAGGTGGAGAAGGAGGAGGTGGAGGACGAGGAGGAGGAGGAGGAGGAGGAGTAGGAGGACGAAGTGCAGAGGTGCACTTCGCATGCAGCCAATGCCCACAACGCCGGCGGGAGGGGTGAAGTGGATGCGCGCGCGTGCGCGCACGCAACACACATCAGCGGCATACACACTGCATGTGCATGGTCCCATGTTCCCTGGCAATCTCCGGAACCGCGCGTGGTAGTTTCTCGTGCGTTCAATGCTGCGTTCTCTAATTGTGGTATGCTCGCCCAATCTACTGTGCTCGGCCTCGTCGAGTGTGGCTCTGGCATCTTTGCGGTACGCCGTGCGTTGTGGATTTGGTCTTTGTGGGCACGCTCGGAGCCGACTGAGCTCCTGCAGCAGCGCAGGCCACTCTTCGGACTCCCGTCGGACGATCCCCCAGATATCCACCCCGAGTGATTCGTTCTCGTCGCTCTTCGCTAAAGCAAATCATGTATACAAGACTCTGAGGATCAGTGCCTCCTGTCTTGGAAGTTTCGGGCGGGTAAGGCGCCGACGGTTCGTGGGACTACCCGCGCGTAGGGTGCGGCTGGGTGGCCTCTGTTAGTCACTCTTGTGCTTGACGCCCAGCTGCCGGAAGACATACCTCCCCCCACGTTTCCCCTCCTCATCCTTCTCCTCACTTCGCTGGCGCCAAGGTCTTGACCCTGGGCAGCAGATTTGGAACTACTCGTTTATGCAGACCCCGTTGGGATCCCGCATCGCGCGGCCGCGTCTGGGCAGCTAAGGCAGACTTGCCAAACGGACAGTTGGACACGCGCCTGCGGGTCGCACTTAAGATGTTTGCACCTGGACGTACATACATGTCACTAAGCGCGTTTCCGCTCGAGAGCGGGATACTCCCAGGGCACGCGAGCACACAAACACACACACACGCACACACACACACACACGCACACACTCGCACGCACACGCACACGCACACGCACACGCGCACGCGCACGCACACGCACACGCACACACACACACACACGCAAACGCACACGTACAAGCACACGCACACGCACGCGCACACGCACACGCACACGCACACGCACACGCACACGCACACGCACACGCACACGCACACGCACACGCACACGCGCACGCACGCGCACGCGCACACGCACACGCACACGCACACGCAAACGCACGCGCACACGCACGCGCACACACACACACACACACACACCCACGCACACGCACGCGCACACGCACACGCGCGCACGCGCACGCGCGCACGCGCGCACGCGCACGCGCACGCACACGCGCACGCGCACGCGCACCCGCGCACACGCGCACGCACCCGCGCACGCGCACAGGCACGCGCGCACGCGCACACGCGAACACGCGCACAGGCGCACAAGCGCACACGCGCACACGCGCACACGCGCACACGCGCACACGCGCACACGCCCACACGCGCACACGCACACACGCGCACACGCGCGCACACGCGCACACGCGCACACACGCGCACACGCGCATACGCGCACACGCGCACACGCGCACACGCGCACACGCGCACACGCGCACACGCGCACACGCTCACACGCTCACACGCTCACAAGCTCACACGCTCACACGCTCATACGCTCACACGCGCACACACGCACACACGCACACACGCACAAATACACACATACACACATAGACACACATACACACATACACACACACACACGCACGCACGAGCACGCGCACGCGCACACGCACACGCACACGCACACGTTCACGCACACGCAGACGCACACGCACACCAACACACACTCACACACACACACACGCTCACACGCTCACACGCTCACACGCTCACACACACACACGCACACACGCACACACACACACACGCACGCGCACGCGCACACGCACACACACAGACACGCTCACACGCTCACACGCTCACACGCTCACACACTCACACACGCACACACGCACACACACACACACGCACGCGCACGCACACACGCACACACATACACACACATCAGTAGCAGCATAATCAGTTGCCGCATCAGCAGCATGGGCATGAGATGGATGAGGAGAAGGGGCAGGGGCAACAGCAGCAGCAGCAGCAGCAGGATGGGATGGTGTACAGTGTTTGCCACTGCCCTTTCTTTCTCTCTCTCTCTCTTGCTTTCTCTCTCTCTCTCTCTTTCGCTCTCCCTCTCTCTCTTTTCCAGCAGGTACCCGTAGGAATACATTTCTTGGACGACAGGCCTCCACGCCCCTGAGAGCATCGTTGATGTGTTTGAGGTGATCCCCTAGCTTTGTAGGCGTCCAATTTCAGATTGCTGGCATGAGCTGTATGCAGATGTACCCCTGTCGATGGAGGATGGGGAGGATGCGGAGGACGAGGAAGGGGAGCCGGAGGCAGCGAGCCATCTCTCTGCTCCTCCGGCGTGGCTCCGCCCAGGGCTGGTGCGACACCGAGCTGGCTACCAACAAGCAGACGCGCGACACGGTGGGGCAGAGGATTGTGGGCGGACGGCTCATTCGCAAGTTTGTTCAAATCGCCTGCGTCACACAAGGGCAGAGTTTCTGAGGCTCCAAAGATTTGGGTCCTCGGTTCCTTGCCTCTGGCTGTTCCATGGCCATTTGGGAATGCGCAGGTTCGCCCCCGAGGGAGCGATACGGATTACGACGGAGGGATGAGTTGGGCGAGGTTGGTGGGGAAGGGAGAAATGAGGAGGATGAGCAGACTGAGGATTAGATAGTGGAGGGAGAGTAGGAAGAGGAGTTGGGAGATGGATTATGGGGGCGAGGAGGAGAATGTGGTGGGAGGTGGAGGGGTGTGTGGATCAGAAGACGGAGGGAAGGGCGACGGGGAGGAGGATTTTGGAGGAGGAGGAGGCGGAGGAGACCAAGCAGCATGAAACACCAGCAGCATGAAACAGCAGCAGCATGAAGATAATGCGCAGCATGAGCAGGGACAGCAAGAGGAGGAGGGACATAGGAAGGCAGACAACCAAGCAGGCGGAAGAGGCGGAGGAGAAACATTGCCATCTCGCCTCGCATCCGCGCCAACTCTCATAGCACTTGTCGGTAGCAGCGGGGGCAGGCCAGCGCTGATGTCACCGACCTCACAGCCAAGGCGCCCTTCTCCTGCGGGGGCGAGGAGCGTGAGGATGCTGAGCAATCGTCTCCAGGGTGCTCGAGGAGGAGGAGGAGGAGGAGGAGGAGGAGGAGGAGGAGGAGGAGGGGGAGGAGCAGGAGGAGGAGGGAGGAGTGGGGAGGATATGGCAGAGGAGGGAGGAAGGGAGGGAGGGAGGAGGAGGAGGAGGAGGAGGAGGAGGAGAAGGATGAGGAAACAAAGGAGAAGGAGGGGAAGGAGCAGGCGGTAGAGAGGAGGAGGGGAAGGAGGAGGAGGAGGGGAAGGAGGAGGTGGAGGAGGAGGAGAAGGATGAGGAGGAGGAGAAAGGATGAGGAGGAGGAGGAGACAGGAGGAGGGGGGGAGGACCCGCACGTATCATGACTGTGTTCTCGCCCCCGCGCCGTAGCTCGAGGAGGAGGTGGAGGAGGGATGAGCGACCTCAGCACCCGAAGAACTTCCCGACGAAGTAGCCAACGCGGCAGAGGGAACTGCCTGGCCGTAAGGCCCGAGGAGCACGCCAATGTAGTTGAGGAAGGTGGTTTGCTGCCCCACGTGGCCACCTCTACTCATGATCATACTTGGTCTTTGCAGTACTGCAGTGCGACCTCCTTGGGATCAATTGTGCTGCAGAACACTGGCGCATGCCACTTGCCAAACGGCTCGAAGACCAGCTGGACGGACGCGGACCCTTGCCGAACTCCTTGAAGACCAGCCGGAGGGTGCGCAGGCCTTCCGCCGAACGCCACGAAGACCAGCTGGACGGACGCGGACCCTTGCCGAACGCCTCGAAGGCCAGATGAAGCGTGCGCAGGCCTTTTGCCGAACGCCCTGAAGAATACGCCACGGCCGCCGCCAGGGGGCGCCAGGAGATGGCGCCCAGCGGCAAATGGCGCGCTGGAGCGGGCAACTAGCTGGTCCTTTGAATCGAAATGGCTACGAGGAGGAGGAGGAGGAGGTGGAGGAGGAGGGCTAGCACGACACGCATGTGTGGCTGGCACAGGGAGACGCCCGGCAGGCCTTCGAACAGTTTCTGTTGGAGGGGATGGTGGTTGAGAAATCGGGACAAGGAATATCTAGCTCCAGGGCGCGCCCATTCAGATTATGAAGTGACCCCATTTCGGCGCGCACTTGGCCTCGGAAGGCCCAGTGGCCATGTCTTGATTCCCCACAGCCCCGATATTAAGCAAACGCATACTAGCAGCCGTGGAGCGGATAGCGAAGGATACATGCCAGCAACTGTGGAGAGATTACACGTGTGAAACCAGCAGACAGTAGTGGATCCAGTTAGGGCCACATCTTCAAGGCGGCGAGTTCTGACTTCGACATCATAGGGCATTGCGGCGGTCTGTGTCTATCCGTGCTTCCTAGCTCTCTTCATGAAATGATTTCCGCACTGCAGGTGGAAGAGCTGAGCGCCCTCGAGACGAAGCTCACGCAGGAATTGCCCCTTTCTGCAGAGAAAGCCAGTAAGCTATTAGCCGGGAGGCTTGGGATCGCAATCGGAGTCATGGAAGACTAGTATTGAGAAGGGACTGCCATACGACAGTTTTGCATTCGTCGCATTGCCAGGCCTTGGGGTCCCATCAGCAGGGGGAGGGTTGTGCGAGCATCGAAGTGGTGGTCATGCGTCATCAAGATGAGAACCGGCTCATGTCGATCGATGGCATACGACCAGGAGGAGATGGCTTGCATGCTTAGGAGGCGAGTGTGCTGCTATTTTTGGGTGCGCTCGGGCATCGACGTGACCGACCGCTCCTACAACAGGGCGCCTTGGGTCCCAAGCAAAGGGCTGTCTACAGGAAGTGGAGGACAGGAGGCTCACGCCTGCCTCGATTCGTGCAGCCGCTCGCGAGGATGTTGGATATTTCGCGTTTGGGCGCGCCACAGGTGGAGTACCCCCCTGTGGATTTCAAGGATCCTCCAAGAAGATGGTCCAACTCTCGTCTGAAAGGTTCTTGGAATCCTGAGGGGGGGGTGCAGCTGTGGTGAAGGTCCTCGGATGGTCATGTCCCATCACCCCCATGCCAACACCCCTACTCGCCTCTGCTCGCCTCCTCCCGACGGAGAAAGGGGAGGAGAATGAGGACGAAGGACGAGCAGAAGTAGCAGCAGCAGCAGCATGAGGAGCCAGAACATAATAAGAAGGAGAAGGACGATTGTCCGCAATCCAGTAAACCTCTGACTTCTATACGGTAGGCGAAGCGCCATTGCGCAGAAACATACTTCGCGTTCGCAGGAGATCGAGGACCTCAGCCAAGCCATCGTGGAGATCGAAGCTGCGATGAAGAAGGCTAGGTGGCGAGAGTAGCTTAGGCCAAGGGGAGGGTGGTGTGAGGAGGCTGTTTCGTAAGGAGGGGCAGCATGCTGCTGCTGATACTGCATGTTACGAGTTTCCGATGGTGTGAAGACGTGGGTGACGATGGCGATGATGATGATGGTGATGATGGCGTTGATGATACTGCCTGTGGTGGTGATGCTGATGACGAGTCTGATGTGTGGAGGGGAGTGAGCATTCGGAGGAGGGTTACCGAAGTCGTCCAGTAGAGGGCGCCAGAGCCGCATGGAGGGTAGGAGCTCCCGTCTCTCGGCGCACTGATAGCGGCCTGGCCCTCGTGTTGCCATGTCTCGACCCTTCCTGTAGGAGCATGGAGTCAGACCTCCAGCGTTTCGACGAACGACCACAATGCAGTTGTTCTAGGTTTGGGTGTTCAGGGCACGCTACCAAGTCCCCGGACCAGCAAAGAGCGCCCTGCGCACGGGGTCGAAAGTTCGGAGGGCTACGTCGTGAAGAAGTGCAGGTGCCCTCCGCCACCAGGCTAAGCCGCCCCATTTGGTGCCGAGATGTTGGTGGGGATTGTCTGAGGGCCAGGCCATGAATCCCCCTCCTCCTCTCCCTTCTGCGGATCAGGCCCAGGAGGAGCGCGCCAATGAGAAGACAGCCAATGAGGGCACCATCGAGGAGCCCTCTGGCCTGTGCCCTTTGGCCAGATGTTGCCGCCGAGGTGATACTTGCCGCATCGATTCGCCGCTGTCATTCTTGATGCTTCGCATATCCCCACCACCCCATCCAAATCATCTGCCAGGCGGGATGCCCTGCATAAGGTTGTGTTGCAGCATGCAGTCACGCTCTTGGAGCCTCTTGGAGGCATCTTGGGGCTATCGTGGGACCCTGTTGAGGCCCCCCCCCTGGGCCAACGTCGAAGACCACCATAGCTCTCTGGGGGGCCTCTCGGTGCCCGCCTGGAGCCCTCTCTGGGGCGGGGGTTCTGCCTTGGGGGGTCCTCGGGAGCCCTGGGGGCCCTCCTGGGACCGTGCCGCAGACCCTCCGTCGCAGAAGCAGGGGCTCTCGGTGTCAGCCCCCCGTCGGGGCCCTCGACCTCGCCCCTCGGGGCCCTCGACCTCCTCCCGGTGACGCCCCCCCCCTTCCCCCCCCCTTTGCGTGCGGCGCTGCGGCTGCGGCTGCAGCTGTCCCCCCCCCCCCCCCTCTGCCTCGTGGAGCACGGGCGGTCCCCCCCTGCCGCGCCCTCACCAGGCGCAGCGGGCGTGCGTCCGCAGGTCACGAGCACTCCGCGCGGGCTCGGTGTGGGGGGGAGGAGGAGGAGGAGGAGGAGGAGGAGGAGGAGGAGGAGGAGGAGGAGGAGGAGGAGGAGGAGGAGGAGGAGTCGGAGGAGGAGAGGAAGGAGGAGGAGGAGGAGGAGGAGGAGGAGGAGGAGGAGGAGGAAGCAGCAGCTGCGGGGCGCTTGCCTCGAGGCGTCGCTCTTCGACGCGGCGAGCGCGCCCGCCACCCGCCCCCGGAGTCCCCGCGACGTCTGTGGGGCTCCTGGCTGCGCTTTTGGAAATGGTTTCGGCGAGACCAACCTCTCGATGTGCCGCCCACATCCGCGCCTCGCAGTTCGCTCGCGAACCGCGGACTTCTTCGATTCGTTGGCTCCTCGTCCTCTTTCTTCTCCTCCCCCTCTTTCGCCTCCTCCTCTCTCCTCCTATCTTCTCTCTTCTTCGTCCCTCTCTCCGCATCCTCTTACCCTTTGACTTGCGCCTCTCCTCTCCTCCCTCCCCCCTCCCTAGCGCCGGTAGCATGCTCCCTCCCCACTCCCTAGCGCTGGTAGCATGCTGCTTCCGCCAGGAGGCCAAGGTGGCCCAGCAGGCGGTGGTGGAGGCCATCAGGCGCGGCTGCCCCGCCCCCCCCCCCAGGATGAGGGAGAAGGGAAGGGCAACGGTTTGGAGAGGGGTTTTCGAGAGTTGGGGTCGTGAGCTTTCTGGAGCGTCTCGCCGAAGCGGGCAGACGACGGATGCGGGCGGGGGAGGGAGAGAAGCAGCGATGGAGGCAGGGAGGGAGTAGGAGCAGGAAGGTCGAGGAGCAGAAGGAGGTGGAGGAGGATGGAGGACGGCCCCCCTCGGGGCGTCCGCCCTGCTGCGGGTGCCTCCCCCCCGAGGGGCATGCGGGCCAGCGCAGCCGGGGGCGGCGGGAGGCACCCCGAAGGGGCGCCCGGGATGCTGTCCTGGTGGCCCGCCCGGGTGCAGGCACGACCGGCTCACCACCCAGGCCGAAGCACACCGCATCGCTGAAGATGCGGCACCCGACGCAGATCGCCTGTGCGTCGAGGGCGCTCCTCGGTCCAGCGGGTCTCAATTTCCACGCCCCACGGGGGTGGACTTCACCTACCTGGCCCCCAACGGACTCAACATCTTTTTCCTGGAAGTCGAAGCTTCCGTCTGGTCAGCTTCCGTCTGGTCAGCTTAGCCGCACCCTCGGCCTCCCTCATGTCGGGAGAGGCCATCCCTGGGCACAGACCCCATTGGACGCACATCGAGGGGTCGCATGTGCCGATCGTCTCCTGAGTACTGCGCGGGGGGGGCCGCCACGACTGCGAGCGCTCCTCGCACAGTGCGAGGCCCCGCACGAGTCCTCAGCCGAAGCGTCCGAAGAGCCACGCGCCAGGGTCGGACGCACGCCGGGGGGAGCTGCACCTTTCGCCTCCCTCCTCTCCTCGCCGTCATTGTTCCACTCTCTCCTTCGGAGCCCCCCAGCACGTGTGTGTGTGTGTGTGTGTCTCCTGGGGGCGTGGCGGATAGATGCCGACACGTGGCGACGTCTATTGGGCCAGAATGTCTCGCCGAGTCGTAGTTGTTGCGTCTAGTCGGCCAGCAGTTGTGATATTGCGAAGGCCTTACGGCCGGTGCCGCCGACCCTGTTCGCAATGCGCAGCAAGAGGCACGGGCTGTGGGATGGTTTTGGGGAACGGGGAGAAGGACGAGAAGGTGGGGGAGGGAGGTGTCGTATCTGACCCGGGACTTCCCCGGGACTCCCCCGGGACCCCCCCCGGGACCCCCCCTCCCCCCCCCGTCGGGGAAGGGAAAGGGAAGGGGCTTCCCTTCGACTCAATTACGACGTTGCTCAAGGTCGGTACGGGGGGGGGGCGTCGTATCTGACCCGGGACTCCCCCGGGACCCCCCCCGGGACCCCCCCTCCCCCCCCCGTCGGGGAAGGGAAAGGGAAGGGGCTTCCCTTCGACTCAATTACGACGTTGCTCAAGGTCGGTACGGGGGGGGGCGTCGTATCTGACCCGGGACTCCCCCGGGACCCCCCCCGGGACCCCCCCTCCCCCCCCCGTCGGGGAAGGGAAAGGGAAGGGGCTTCCCTTCGACTCAATTACGACGTTGCTCAAGGTCGGTACGGGGGGGCCGTCGTATCTGACCCGGGACTCCCCCGGGACCCCCCCCGGGACCCCCCCTCCCCCCCCCGTCGGGGAAGGGAAAGGGAAGGGGCTTCCCTTCGAATCAATTACGACGTTGCTGAAGGTCGGTTTGGCTAGCGCGCTTGAGGAGGAGGCCCTGGGAAAGGGCGAGGGGAGCGGGGAGGAGCCCAGGGGAAGAGGGGTACCAGGGAAAGGGAACGACAGAGACGACGATTACAAAGAATGACGGAGATGACGGCTCGAACGGAAAAGCCCCTCACACACGCCGACAGGGTTGGCGGATTATATGCGTTGCTTATGGTGTTGGGTGTCGTCTGTGCAAGGTATGGACATGCCCCCTGTCTGGGTGTAAAGGTCGTGAAGGAGGAGTAAGGGGAGTAAGCGGAGGAGGAAGAGGAGGAGGAGGAGGAGGAAGAGGAGGAGGAGGAGGTGGAGGAGGAGGAGGAGGAGAAGGGGAAGGGAGGAAGAGGACGAGCCTCTCCCCCTCGCTCCCCTCTCCCACTCCGCTTTCTACTCCGTGTCTCCACTCTTCCCGGTCTATCCTCCTTCCTCTTCGCTGGATGACAAGGGGGAGGCAGTGGAGGTAGTGGAGAAAGAGGAGAGTGCAGGGGAAGGAAAGGGGAGAGGACGGATGATGAGGAGGTGGAGGAAACGGAGGCAGAGGAGGAGGAAGAGGAGGATGATGATGATAACGAAGAAGAGGAGGATGAGGAAGCAAGCAGCAGGATAATGCCGACGAGGAGGAGGAGGAGGAGGAGGAGGAGGCGGAGGCGGAGGAGGACGAGGAGCACGGGAATAGTGGTTGTGATAGTGATGGTGATGCAGTCGGTCGATGCTGGTAGTGATGGTCATTCTGATGCTGCTGATGAGGCTGACACTCGTGGCCCTGATGATGACATGATGGCGATGGCGATGACGGCTGTGCTGATGGTGGTGGTGGTGATGATGAGCAGGAGGATCCAGGGGCAGGGCAGGGAGGCGGATGACGAGGAGGCGGATGACCAGGAGGAGGCGGGACACCGCCGCTGTCCCCGCCGCCGCGGAGCGCGCACGGCGCGCGGCAGGATGCTGCGCGAGTTCTACCAGCGGGCCGCAGAGGCCACCTCGCTGGCCCAGCAGGCGCGCGCCGGCGGCCGCTCGCGTGCGGGGCGTCGGCGCCGGCCCTCTCGGGCTGCCGCTGCTCGGCGGAGCCAGGGAGCAGCCGGGCGGGCGGTGCGGGGGCGGGGCAGCAGCGTGAGCAGCTTTCCAGCGATGCCTTCTCCACCTGTTCCAGTGCGCCCGGCTCTGATCAGTACATGGCTGTACATGTTACACCTCACGCGGCATTGGGGTCGCCTGCCACCGATCGACCGCCGCCTGCTCGACGACAGCGGCTGGCCCGAGCCTGGCAGGTGCGGCCTCGATCCGCGGAGTTTTCGCAGCTAAATCATTGGTTTTCAAATGTATGCAATCCCCAAGGATTCCAGAAGCCGCAGACCAGGCGAGAATCATTTCTGCAACCGCAATGTGGCTCTCGCCTTTGCGCCGAGTGCATTCGTTTTAGATGTTTGCCAGGGCTTCACGGATTGAGTGCGGTTGGTTTTCGAATTGTGGTTATCGCCATAGCGTTGCGCGCATTGGTTTTAACATGTGGCAGCAGTTTCACGGATTGAGGGCGGGTGGTTTTCACAATGTGTGTCTCGTGCCTTAGTGCCGCGCACTTGCGTTTTAGACATTTTGGAGCTTAACGAATTGAGGGTGGGTGGTTTTCACAGTGTGACCCTCGCCTTAGCGCCGCGCGCATTGCAAGAACTTCGAGGATTGTAGGGCGGTTCCTTTCCAAAAGTGTGGCTCTCGCCGTGGCGCCGCGCACATTCGCTGAACACATTTGCAAGAGTTTCATTGTTTCTCACTGCTACAGTAGCAGAACTGGTGTTTTGGAGCAATACAGGATTGCCAGGGCGCAACACCCACGTTGATCCGCGGTGTTGAAGTTCCAGGAATGTTGTTCTGGCGCGATCCAGGATCGCCAAGACGGAACCGTCAGATTCAACTTGTGGCGTCGAAGTCCTGGCAATGATGTTTTGGCACGCATCACTGTTGTCCCCCAGCGGGGCAATCGCTCTGTGGAAATGACCCATGTAGGGGCCTACGAAGAGGGATCTCGGACGGAGGGTGTATTTTTAACCTCGTTGATGCATCCTGGGTGTGCACCGGTCCTTCTCCTCCTGCTCCTCGCCCCCATTGCTGTCCCTGCTCTCCTCCTGCTCCGCGCCCTCCTCCTCGGCCACCCCTCCCAGGGGGAGGACCCCCCCCCCCCCCGGCCCCGGGGAGCCCCCCCTCGGCCCCGGGGCCTCCTCCGAGGGCTGCGCCGCCCGCCCCCCTCCTCGGGCGTGCAGCCCCAGCTCGGAGGGCACCAGCTATACACCAGCACCGATCCCGGCCCAGGATCACCCTGGGCCCAGGATCGGTGTATACTCCAGATTTCGTAATAAAGGGCGGGGGGTCTCATTTCGGGGGGGGGTCTCTTCCAGGCTATCTTGGAGGGCCTGGGGGGGTCTGGGGACGATGTTTTGGAGGGTTCTCCCACGAGGGGGGGTCTGAAATGGCTTGTCTTGGAGGGTCCAGACCCCCTCCCTTTTATTACGAAATCTGGAGTATGCCTTCTTGCGCAAGGCAGGAGGGCGTATACACCGATCCTGGGCCCAGGGTGATCCTGGCCAGGATCGGTGTTGGTGTACAGTTGGTGCCTTCCTACCAGCGCGCCCGCCGAGACCCCTGGGGCGGACTCCCCGTACGTGTTCGACGAGCCCTACCAGGGCATGCAGGGCTCCAAAGGCGGTGCCGGGCGCGGCTCCGGCGCGGCGCTGCTGGGCTGCCTCGTTCTTCGTGCCTCCTTCGCTGTTCCCGCTTCATTTCTCCCTGTTCCTTCGTTCCTTCCTTGCCCATCTCTCCTCTTCTCGTGTTCCCTCCTTCCTCTTTCATCCCTCCTCCTCGTCTTCCTCGTCCTTCTCCTCGCCCTCCCACTAATTACCTCTTCTACTTTCTCCCCCGATACCACTGCTGCCCTTCTCCTCCTTCTCCTTCGCCCCCCTTTGGCGGCCCATTCCGCCCTCCAGCCTTCCCTTTCTTCCGATTGCATGCCGTGTGGGCTGCAACTCTTTCCGCGGGCGGCCCTTCATGTCCCAGCGCCCGCCCCCTCTCATTCTTTTCACCTCCTCTTCGTCGCCGTCCAGATCCGCTCCCCCTTCTCCTGCTCCTGCTCCTCCTCTCCTCCTCCTTCTCCTCCTCCGCGTCCTCCTGCTCCTACTGCTCCTTCTGCTTCATCGTCTACATCGACTTCTGTGTGCGGATCTCCTCTCCTTCGGTTTCTACCTCCCCGTGCTTCTGTTGCTTCGCCTCCTCTCACTTCCCGCATTGCGGGATGCGGATTGCCCGTGTCGTATCGAATCGAGCTCGCTTTTCGGCCAAGCTCCACATCCTGCGCGGGACCCGGATCCCCCAGAGTCCGATGGAGGGCCCGCCGCCTCTGCGGACCGCGCCGCGCTCGCCCCCGCGCCCGCGCGCCCGCGCGCGCCGGGCAGTCATCCTGCTCGCAGCCGCCCGACGCCTCCTTCGGTACGTCGCCCTCCCCCGCTGCACCTCCACGCCCTCTGCCTACTGCTCCACGGCCTCCTCTACCTCCTCTCCGCCACCGCCTCCTCAAGCCGCAACCGCTGCCTCGTCTGGCTCCTCCTCGCCCTCTACCTCCTCCTCCTCCTCCTCCTCCTCCTCCTCCTCCTCCTCGGGACTCCCCGCCCTGGGGCTGGCCTCCGCCTCCTCCGCCTACTCTGTCTATTCCGGCTCCACTTCGCCATTCCGGCTCCTCCTCGCCCTCTGCCTCCTCCTCCTCCTCCTCCTCCTCCTCCTCCTCCTTCTCGTCCTCAGCCTCTTCCGGCACTTCCTCGTCCTAAGCCTCCTCCTGAGCTGCTCAGCACCTCCTCTGGGCCCGCCGCCCGCAGGCCCGCAAGTCTCGCCGCAGGGCCTCGGGCAAGCGAGCCCTGGCGGACGTGGGCACTCGCAACGCGCCAGGCGACAAAGGCCTGCATGGCGAATGCTGACCTGCTGCCACAGGCTACCGCCAGCGCGGAGGCGCGCGACTCGCCGCCCGCCGTGACGGCGAGCACGTGGGCGGTCGCCTGCGCGCTCTCGCCCGGGCGGCCCCCTGGCTCCAGCGCGCGCGGGGCGGTGTCGAGCCGGGCCTGCCGCCGCTCGGACCCGGGGCAAGTCGGCGCGGGCGCCAATCACGGCCACGTCAAGGGCTACCCGCCTGCCATTGTAGTTGAAGACGGGGTCCAGCACGTCCCCGGCCTCGTCGTCCGCCGTCGCGTCTTGGCCAGAGCCGACTTCGCGTTGGCGAAGCGCCAGAAGAGGTGTCGGATCTCCTCGTGGCTCCCGACTGCCTCGCCGCCGATCTTGCGCACCTTTGCGTGCAGAAGACCCTCAAGGCCATCCAGCTGCGCCCCGCAAGCACCCCGAGTACGGCAGAGATGGCAATGCGTTTGCGATGGCCTCGTTGCTGGGCTGGGGCACGCACAGGAAGCTGCCTGCTCCGGCGCCGCTTGCTGGATGCAGCCGCACCCAGTATGGCTCTGGGGCGCCGTTGAGGATGGTCTCACGCGCCCGGAGGGACACGGCGTCCATGATCATCCTCTGTATGCGCTTGTTGGATTCGACGGGAAAGTCCACTTTCACGTCGCTGGCCTGCGTGGGCGCCCTGGCCGTCAATTCAGCTCTCGCTCCCGCCAGCTCCGCAGCGAGCCTGGGGAAAGCGGCGCGCAAATCCTGCTCAGTGTGCACGGGGCCCGGGGCGCACTGCCGCCATAGCTGGTGGCACCATCCCGCGAGGAAAGCAGCGGACGCCCGCGGCGTGGCCAATCCGAAAGCTGCGCCGCCGTCGCGAAGCGGCAAGTTGCCAGGCGCAGTGTACTCTGGAGTGAGTTGGACACCGATCAGCTCAACCCACGCGTCCGCGACGGCGCTGTCGTAGGCCGCAAGTGCTTGGTCACTTAAGAGGCGCGAACGGAGCAGCTGCTGGGGGGGCCCGACTGTGACGTATCGCAGGATCGCGCCCACCACCTGGCATCAAAGCCCGCGCTGTCGAGCGTCCTTTAGAATAGCAGCTTTATCGCGCACCAGAGCCGCTGCATTCTGCATGCCCTGCTCGGAATTGCCGGGCCCTGCCGCCAAGTCGACCTCGCGGTCGTGGTGGTCGAGACTGCATCACAGCATGGGGAGGTCGGGCACCACTGCGCCGTGCAGCGTCGCCGGGACAATCTGCGCTGCCTCGGGCGAAGCCAGCCAAACTTTCGTCTTCCCCGGTGCACACCTCAGGAGGGGAAAAAACACACAGACACAATTAATCGTGGATTTCCCAGAAAATATGCAAAAATATGGGAAGTGGTGGGGAAGACAAACACCCAGAAAATATGGGAAAATATGGGGGATATTTTTATTTGTGTGTATTTATTTGTGTGTTCCAGTTCCCCTTCAACACCGCCACCGCAAGCCCGTCCGAGCGAGCGCAGCAGCAGGGACGTCGTACGAGGCCGCAGCCGGCCCCGCGATGTGTAGATGTCGTCCGCATACGCCACGAGGCTCGTCCCGAGGCTTCGCTGGTGCAGCTCCTCTCGAGTGCCCTCCGTCCTCCAACGCGCCTGCCAAGGTCACTCAGAAGAGGGAGGTGCTGAGAGGGCACCCCCGCGGCACGCCAGTGCGCTGCTCCACCCAGATCGTGTCGCCGTCGGCTGTGTCGTAGGCGTTCCGGGTGGTGGCGTTGAGCAGGCGGTCTACCAAGGAGCGCATCCACGGCGTGCGGGCCCGAACGGCCTCCTGAGCAGCTCTGCGGCGGACGGTGCCGCAGGCGTTCTTGATGTCTAGGCTGGCACGCGGCGCCCCCAGGGTAATCACTGTCACTCCAGCTTCTCCTGCTGCTCGGCCGCTGACGTTGTCGAGCGAGACCTCGAGCTTGGCCTGCTCGATCCGCTCGCCCCGAGAGACAAGCGCCCCACAAAAAGTCTCCCGCGACTGCCCCTTCAGCCGAGCGGAAGCCGTCCTGCTCCCCCTCAGGGAGGGAGTGCAGGACGGATTCCGCCTGCATCTTGAGGAGGAGGAGGAGGAGGAGGAGGAGGAGGAGGAGGAGGAGGAGGAGGAGGAGGAGGAGGAGGAGTAGGAGGAGGAGGAGGAGGAGGAGGAGCTTGACCCTTGCATCCTGCACAGCTCGACCCTTGCCTGCCTCTTCTGCTTGAGATGGCGACCGTGCAGGGCAGGCGGAGCGCCCCCCTCCAAGGCCTCGCGCCGGCTGCTCCACGCGTGCCGTCGTTCGGGGCTCCGCTTCGTGGACCGCCGCGCCCGGTCAGGAGCCCACCCCGGGGGCCACCTCGCCGTAGCGCTGCTTCCAGGAACCGACCTGCGTCGCATGCCGCACGCATGTTCACACTCGAGGAGGACGGCGCCTTCCAAAACTGAGAGGCGAGATCATCTCCCCACCATCCTCTCCTCCCCCCTTTTCCTCTCCCATTCTGCCCCTGCCCCTGTTGATCCAGCCGCTCCTCCTCCGTATCCTCCCAACCCTCCTGAACTTTCTGCTTCCCTCCTACGCCTCCTGTTCCCCCCCTGCTCCTCCTGCTCCTCCTTCTGCTCCTCCTCCTTTTCCTTCTCCTCCTCCTCATTTTCTTCCTCCTCCTCCTTATCCTTCTCCCTCTCATCTTTTCCCGTTGACCACCTCATCATTTACCGCCTCCCCCTCGAAACTCATCCTACCTTATTGTCATTTGCCTGATCCTTCTCCTACTGCTCCAGCTCCTCCCTCTCCTGCTCCTCGTTCTGCTCCTCCTGCTTTTCATACCCTCCTCGTCCTCCTTCTCCTCCTGACGATGTCCCTCCTCCTCCTCCGCCTTCCCCTTTCCTTTCCCCTGCCTCCTGCTTCTGGAAGTGCGTCTTATCCTCCTCCTCCTCCTCCTTCTCCTCCTCCTCCTCCTCCTCCTCCTCCTCTTCCTCCCCTTCTCTTCTTCAATGCTCTTGGCCGCCACGCCCACTCGCACGAGGCAAAGCGTGCTCTGAGGCGCCGCCCGTGCTCGGGAAGGATGAGGGCGGACCGTCGTTTCGGCGCCGCGGAACGGGAGGGGGGGAAGCACCCGATTCCAGCACCCCTGCGCGGGGAGGCCCTGGGCCCATGAGGCCCCTGCTCCCCTGTGCGGGCCAATCCACTTCCAGCCATCGCTGCAGTGTGCTCACGAGCGAGAGGAGGGTGCAGGGTGGTTCCGGTGTGCGGCGGGGTCCGGGCCGACGCCACGGCAGCGCATCGCCTCTCGCTCCCGCGCCGATGCAGCCACCTCTCTACGGTGAAGAGCCCCTTGGGAGAGGCGCCCGGCTCACTCTGACAGTGGGAGTGCGACGCCTTTCAGAAGAAGGGCTCTGGCCTCGAGGTCGGGTCGGCGAAGGGGACGTCCTCAGTGCGCCCGCCCGTCCTGGCTGCTCGCCCCACCAGAACGTTCATCACTCGTGTCTCGCTCTTACCTGGGGCCGGCACGGAAACCGAAAGAGCGCTTCAGCATCCTCAGCGATCAGTGGTGTAAGTGGTGTTCGGCAGACCTCTGGCTACGCTGGGAGCGCCCCCCTCCATACTCAACCTCCGCCCCGTCGCCGTCTTCGGCCTCGTCGGCCTTGTCGGCCTCGTCGGCCTCGTCGTCGTTGTCGTCCTCCTCCTCCTCCTTCTCCTCCTTCTCCTCCTCATCCTCCTCCTCATCCTCCTGCTTCTCCTGCTTCTCCTGCTTCTCCTCCTCCTCCTCCTCCTCCTCCTCCTCCTTCCGTCGCCATTGCCATCTCCCCCGAGGGCATCCGCTCCCAGCGTTTTGGCCCGCTCTTCCACATCCATCCGCCCTGCGGGGGCACTGATGCGCTCGGATGCCGTGCGTGTTCCCGACGCCGAGCGTCTGCTGTCTGTTGCTGCTTGCCCTCGTCATGTCACGCTCGCGGTCTCCAACGGCCTCATACATACGATCTTGCCGTGCCCTGCAGCTCGGACGGGCCCGCCCACGTGCTGCGGTCCATCGCCACGAGCTTCGACTTCGTCTCCTCCTCCCAGGTTCCGCGGCTCGGGTAGCCCCGTTGCCCGCACCGCAGCCCGCCTACCCGCTGGGCAGCTGCCGCGACAGCGAGCTCGCCGCGGTTGCGAGCTTCATCAAGAGCCTGCACGTTCGGCCTCCTGGCGGAGCGGGACCGCTTCCACCGCCTGCACCTGCCGCTCCGCTTCTCCACGGACCGCGGCCCGCGGCAGCTGCACCGCCACCCGAACCCGCACGCGAAGTTCCCCGACCTGGAGCTGGCCCTCTTCCGCTGCTTGCACGTGGGGTTCCTGGAGCTCTGCGCTCACGCCCCGTTCCACGCTCTGAAGTTCGCCGCCAAGCAGGTGGCATGCATGGTCCTCTACTCGCCGCTCCCCCTGCTGGCGCTGGAGCGGCCCCCGCTGCCGGCGCTGGCGCTAGCGCTCCTCAACTTGCTCTGCATGCTGCTCCCGCTGGGAACGCCCGCCACCGGGCTGAAGGTGAGGCCCTGGCTGCTCTTCGACCCCTCGTTCGCGAATGGCAGCGTGTGGCAAGACGTAAGGTGCTCATCAGCATTAGCAGGCCTCTCATCTGCTGCTTCGACGCGTGGTCCGACTACGTGGAGTATGGCGACGTCCATCCCGCTGCAGCTGGTTGCGAACGAGTGCATGATGACGTACCTGCTGCCGCCGCTGGTGGCTTACGAGTGCATGTAAAACACGTTCCTGCTGCTGCTGCCTGTGGCGAAAGAGTGCTTCAAGACGTACCTGCTGGCCCTGCTCGCGAGCGAGTGCATGACAACGTACCTTGTGCCCCTGGGGCGAACCACTGCATGACGACGTACCTGCTGCTACCTCTGGTGGCGAACGAGTACATGACGACGTATATCCCGCTGCCGCTGGTGGCGAACGAGTGCATGGAGATGTACCTGCTGCCGCCGCTGGTGGCGAACGAGTGCATCAAGACGTACCTGCGCCCCTGCGGGCGTACGTGTACATGAAGAGGTACCTGCTGCTACGAAGGGTGGCGAACGAGCGCATGACGACATACATCCCGCTGCCGCTGGTGGCGAACGAACGCATGAAGACCTACCTGTTGCTCCCGCTGGTGGCGAACGAGGGCGGGAGGTCGCATTCGGGCGGCTCCAGGGGCATCGGCGTGCCCGCTCTTCCCGTCGGTCGTGCCAGGCGCCGAGTGCATGGAGCCGCACGCCGTCTCAGGCGCCTCACCAAGTTCGGCCTCGGCTGCCTGGCTTGCAGGCGCGAGCGCATGACGACGTACCTGCTGCCCCCGCTGGTGGCGAACGAGTGCATACGGACGTACCTGCTGCTGCTGCTGCTGCTGCCTGTGGCGAACGAGTGCTTCAGGACGTACCTGCTGGCCCTGCTCGCGAGCGAGTGCATGACAACGTACCTTCTGCCCCTGGGGTGAACGACTGCATGACGACGTACCTGCTGCTACCTCTGGTGGCGAACGAGTGCATGCTGACGTACATCCCGCTGCCGCTGGTGGCGAACGAGTGCATGGAGATGTACCTGCTGCCGCCGCTGGTGGCGAACGAGTGCATCAAGACGTACCTGCCGCCCCTGGTGGCAAACGAGTGCATGAAGTCGTTCTTGCCGCCCCTGCGGGCGAACGAGTGCATGAAGACGCACCTGCTTCCCCCGCTGGTGGCGAACGAGTGCACAAATACGTACCTGCTGCTGCTGCTGCCTGTGGCGTACGAGTGCATCAAGACGTACGCGCTGTCCCTGCTGGCGAACGAGTGCATGAATTCGTACCTTCTGCACCTGCTGGCGAACGACTGCATGACGACGTACCTGCTGCTGCCACCGGTGACGAACGAGTGCATGAAGACGCACATGCTGCTGCCGCTAGTGGTGAACGAACGCATGAGGATGTACCGCACGACGTTTCTCCTAATCCCCATGCTCTCTACCCGAACTGTTTCGACGCGTGTGCGCTGGAAATGAGACCCCTTTCTGATGCCTTTCGTGGGCCCAGACCCGTCTGTGTAGCTCGCCGTGTGCTTCCTGTCCCGCGCACCCACCCCGCTCTTCTCCGTCTTGGTACCCTTCGCTCCGCCCCTTGCCTCCCGTCCCTGCGTTCCCCGCTTTCACGCATGCCCCAGACCCGCACGAATACACTTCCGCTCCCAGCGTGTCAGGCCCCGTGCTCACCGCAGCACGTGCGGCGATTGTGCGCCCGAGCGACAAAGCACGCACGTGGAGGTAGACGCGCGGCAACAGACAGGAGCGGGATCACTTGCCCTCTTCTCGCGTCTTGTCCGCTTGCCGTCGTCTCTTCCTCTTTGAGTACGTTCACCCCTCCTCCTCCTCCTCCTCCTCCTCCTCCTCCTCCTCCTCCTCCTCCTCCTCTCATGTTCTTCCTATTCCCTCCTCCTCTGTCCTTCTCGACTCTCCAGCGCCTTCCTCCCCGCCTGCCCTTCGTGGTCATCGACCTCCCCCGCACAACCTGCGCAGAGGCCGATGCGATGAGCGAACGAACCAAGCGCAGCGGGCCCCCCCCTGCAGCAGCTCTTTTCTCCCTGGGGCCTCCCGCTGTGGGGCGGCTTCTTGCAGCGTGGGGGCGCCGTCGCCGCCGGCCGCCGCCGTCGTCGCCGCCACCGCCGCCGCCGTCGTCCCGTCTTTGCCCTGGTCGTCGCCCCGCTTCCTGAACCAGGACTGCGCCTCGCCGTGAAGCGCCCGCGCGGCAGCGGCGGCGGCCCAGCAAAGGTGGCATCATCGGGATGATGGAGGCCCGCGCCGCGCCGCGCCGCGCTCGTCCTCCCGAGCGGAGGCGCGGAGGGGGAGGTCGAGCCGGTCGATGGCCGATTCGGCGGCGCTGCCTGGCGGGCAGGCAGAGAGGCCGGGCCTGCTCAGAAGGCTCGCGGAAGGTTTCCGGCCTCGCGGGCGCCCCCCCGAGCGGAGGCGCGGAGGGGGAGGTCGAGCCGGTCGATGGCCGATGCGGCGGCGCTCCCTGGCGGGCAGGCGCAGGGGCCGGTGAGACGTGTCTCGGGAGCCACGGGCGGCCGCCCAGAGCAGGCGCGGGGGCCTCCGAGAGGCCGTGCCGCCTTCTGAGATGGCCTGGCCCCTCTCACATCCCCACTCGGCGCGCCGCCGATCGACGGCCGATCGGTCGCCGGCGTGGACGCCCCCCCACCGCGCGCGATATTGTTTTCGCCAGCCCCCCCCTCCTCCTCCTCCTCCTCCTCCTCCTCCTCCTCGTCCTCCTCCTCCTCCTCCTCCTCCTCCTCCTCCTCCTCCTCCTCCTCCTCCTCTCCCGACACTTGCGCGGACGAGTGGGGGCCTGGATGAGGCGGGGCGTCGCGCTGGACCCGCGACCAGGGTCCTCATGACAAGAACTGTGGGAGGAGAGCGACGGTCGACGGAGGAAGCCCTGCACCACTGGCGCCAGCGCATCCCCGTTTTGTCCGATGTTGTGCAGATTAGCACGGATCCCCGTTGCGGCTGCACGAAGAGCAACGGACCAGAGGCCATTGGTTTGAAAGGTGCTCTTCAAACTGGTGTCGGTTGGGGAAACACTGCACTCGGGTCCCTCGGACTGGCTCGACAGTTGATACCAACATCCTTGGCTTTGGCGCAGCTCAGCCTAGGCGGAGCATGCGGGGTGGTACATTGATGCATCAAGAAAGAAGCCCGCGGGTAATGAGGAAGATGAGGGCAAGGATTAGGAGGGCGAGGAGGAGGAGGAGGAGTCAGATGGTATACCAAGGGATTGGCAGGTGAAGTGCAAGTATTAGGCAGGAGGATGAGGACGTCGATGACGATTAGGAGAACCCGACCAACCCGAGCGTCGAGATGAGCTCGCCCACGAGTTCGATGGCGGGAGAGCTCTGCGTTGCTGATCGCCGCGGACACCAAGTCGTCGACGGCGCGGCCTGGACCACCTCGGTTTCGAGACGAGCCACCACCGCCGCGCCGCCAGCGCCGCCGTCAGCAGCCTGGGGGGGGGGCCCACTGCCCACGCGGCGCCCAGCTCCTCCTCGCCCCCCACCGTCATGCCGGCGCCGCGTCCTCGCCTTGCGGCTTGGCTGCAGGTGCAGGCCGCGCACGGCGCCGTCGCCGCCGCCCACGGCCGCCACCCACGCCCTCCTCCACCTCGGAGGTCCACGACCGCCTCGCCGCCATCGGCAGGGGGGTCCCACGGCCGCCGCGCCCTGCTCGCCGCGGCCCGCAGCATCGCCGCCCTCCGCCCTGCGTCCCCACCGCCGCCGAGCAGAGGGCGAGACCGGCGCAGGGGTAATTGCAGTGGCAGGTCCTGGGAGGCCCGCCACCGCCGCGTGTATATCAGCCCCTCGGCGGCTCGTGGCATAGGCGCGCCTCCTGGGAACGGCCCGGCTTCAGGCCCCGCCGCAGCCTGCGCCGCAGGAGGGCCCCTCGCCCGGGGTCCGAGATATGACGCCCACCCCCAGGCATATGTACGTTTTCGGGATGGGTTCTGCCATTGTGCAAGTCGTATTCCGGTTCCCAGCGCTCTTGCGGAGCGAAATGCGTGTATCTGCCCCCGCGCGTCGCATGACAAAGTGCACCGCGCAAAACGAAGAGAAATATGATGTTATTCCAAGTCTGTCTTGGACATTTCGGAGTGCCTGGGCTTTCCAGGCGGAGCAGTCCACGACGGACTTCCAGCGTCCGCGCCGCCTTCGAACTTATCCTTCCGCGGGTGGGGTCTATTTGTGGGTGGGGTATATTCCGGCGGGGCGAAAGTTTAGGCCCATTTGCCTTTCCCAGTGGAGTTCCCTCGCGCCGGCGCGGGATAATTTTCCATGCGTCAGAAAATAGGTGGAATAATTAACCCCTTGAAGTAAATAGTTGCTACTAATTAGTATCAGTGGAAGATCTTGTTCTTCCGCCGGAAGAACTTTTTCTTCCGCCGCGGCTGCGCCACCGCGGCGCTGTGTCGTCTTGGTGCAGGAGTCTACGGGGAGGGAGCGTCGCAAATCTTGCGGCCCTCTCGCCTTCATTCGCCTTGGCAAGATAAACGGGCCAAACTATTGTCGCGGCGGTGTATAGTCAGGCCTTGCCTGCGGCATGATTATACCGTCACCCCCCCGCCCCCACAATAACTGCATCCCGTTGGCCAGCATTTTCGGGGCGCCAGTCCAGGCGGGCCCGAGACACCTCAACAAGTTGCAGGGGAGGGCAAGCGAGGGATGGAGTGAAGGTAGAGGGAGGGCAGGGGATGGCGAGAGGAGGGCGCGGGGTGTCGTCAGGTCTTTCCCAGGGCTCCCTCAAGGGGCCCTTTGGGCTCCTACAGCTGATGTCAATCTCGGTTTTCGAAACACGGACCCGATCGTTGTCAGTTTATGTGGCCCCAGTGGGGGCGGGGTCTAGTTAGCCGACCCTCACTTCAGGCCGCCTGCCCGGCGTCGCGTCGCCCGGACGGCTGCGAGAGCGCCCCCAGCATCAGCCTCGCGACCAGCGCGCTCGGGAGGCGTGGCCAGCGGCACGAGGCTTGGACCAGACGGATTGCCTCAGCTAAAATGGCTTCGCAGAGAAGGGTGACCAGGAGGAGGAGGAGGAGGAGGAGGAGGAGGAGGAGGAGGAGGAGGAGGAGGAGGACGACGATGATGACGACGAGGATGACCTTGCGAAACAGGAGGCCGAGTGGGCTCTGCTCGGGGTGACACCCGAATCCAGGTGATACAGTCCGACTTCGCTCGCTTGGAGTCGAAGACGAGCACTGCCGAGGAGGAGGTCCCGGCCTTCTGCGCTGCCGCACCTGCCGCTGTCGATTTCGTCGCCATCCCCCTCCGCCTCCTCCCTCTCCCTCTCCTCCTGCTCGTCAGGCTTTCGCTGATGCTTTTCAGCCTGCTCCTCCTGCCCCTCTTCATTATCCGCCTCTTTCTCCCCGATTGCCTTCTGCTACTCCGTGCACCCTCCCCCTGCTCCTCTTCCTCCTGCCCTTCCGCCTCTTCGTGCCACTCCACATCCACGAGAAGTCAGAGGCGGAGCGTGGAGCGTGAGAGGCAGAGGGGACAACGGATGTGAGGATGAGGACTCGGGTGAGAAGCATGAAAGGGAATGTGGAGCGGGGAGTAGTGGAGGCCACATCGCCTGTCCTACCTGGCGTCGGCCCCAGCAGGCTCAGCGCGAGTTCGTGGAGTTCGTGGAGAAGTCCGAGACGGACGTGCCCGCACCCCCCATTCTGCGCAGTCAAACCATCGGATGTCTAATCGTTGGCCCATTCTGACATTCGGCTGCGTGCGGAGATCTAGGCGGCAGCCTCGACTCAGCACGCGATTCTGTGAATCTGAGTATCTTGTGGGATGTCGCCGGTGCTGAGCAGGGTGCCTCAGCAGCCCAGGGCGTGACCGTGCCCCGTCATTCCCCCGCCGAGTCCTCCACCCTTCCCCTCCACCTCCCCCTTCGCCCACTTCCTCACTCTCTCATCCCCTCCTCTTGTTTGCGACCCCTGGACGCAAGAGGTGGCCCCTGGTGGCCCTGCACAGGCGTGGCCCGTGGCACGGCAGCTTCCCCCCGCCTCCCGCCCGCCCGCCGGGTCGGCGAGGCACACCGACGCAGCCCCCGGCGGGGATTCAGACCTGCAGCCACCGTGCAGGAGCAAGGCGCCCCATGGCTTGCTTCCCGCGCCTCTCCTGTCTCATCTCTCCCCTCCCGCTCCCTTCTCACTTCGCTCCTCTCCCTGCGTGGAGTGAGTCTGCCAATGCGCTAAGAAGACCACTGCCCGCACGGACAGGCACACACGCTCTCACTGTGCGGTGCTGTAGGGACGCGCGGGTCCCCCTGGCGCCCGCGCTTGGGTTCCAGCACTCGGCGTCCAGCAGAGCGTCTCAGCAGCGCCCAAGTCACAGTGGAAGGAGAGCAGGATTAAAAGGGAGGAGGAGGAGCAGGAGAAAGAGGAGGCGGATTGGCAGCAGGATGGAACGCTCATGGGGGGAGGGACGGGGTGCGAGGACGAAGAGGAGGCGGAGGACGGCGAGCGTGATGAGGATGATAACGATTACGACGATGACGGCAACGATGATACACATGATGGAGATGCTGAACAGTATGTTGACGATGACGATGATGACGATGATGACGATGTTGATGATGATGATAATGATGATGATGCTGATGATGATACTGATGATGCTGATGATGCTGATAAGGACAACGGTGGTGCTGATGATGATGGCTATGCTGACGATGATGATGACGATGACGATGACGATGATGATGATGACGATAACGATGGCGACGACGATGATGGTGGTGGTGATGAAGATGGTGATGATCATGAAGATGAGGATGGTGATGATGTGCATGCTGAGGATGATGACGATGCTGATGATGAGTGTGATGATAATGGTGATTACGATGACAGTGACGCTGAGGATGAGTATGATGATCACGGTGATGATGATCATTGCGATAGTGATGTTGATGCTGATGTAGATGATGCTGCTGATGATGATGGTCATCATCATCATCACCATCAACAGCACCGTCACCATCACAGTCACCTTCATCATCGTCACTATTGCCATCATCAGCGTCACCATCATCATCATCATCATCATCAGCAGTACCCTCATCATCACCATACTCCTCATCCTCCTCCTCATCATCAACACCATACTCCTCATCCTCATCACCATCGTCAAAGAATTGTCATCATCATCACCCTCAACGCCATCAAAATCACCATACTCGGCATCAACACCATCATCATCACCACCATCATCAGCATCGCTATCCTCATGATTGTCATGGTGGTGGTGGTGATGACGATGATGATGACGACGATGATGGTGATGATGACGATGATGATGATGATGATGATGATGATGATGGTGGTGGTGATGATGATGGTGATGATGGTGGAGGTGTTGATGATGGCGATGATGACTGCGATGTCCCCCCCATCCCACCCAACCCTGGAAGAGGAGGATGAGAAGCAGGAGGACCAGTGTGAACCCAAGAGGCATCAATGATGTTGGGATACACCCTCTCACCAAGCTCCCTCTTCACAGGCCCCTACAACGGTTCATGTTTACTCAGGGACTGCCTCTCTGGAAGGCGTTTAATTGTTTGAAGACAATGAAGCATGCCAAAACATTGTTCTCGGGATTCCAACGCCACGGATCAACCTGACTGGTGCGTCTTGACGATCCTGAATCGTGCCAGAACGCCGCGAATCTGCATAACCTGTGCACCCTCATAAGCCTGAATCTTTCCCACACACCGTTGCTGGTTACGTTGATCATGGGAACCCGTGAAACGCCTGCAGTTTTTTTAACGAGTATGCGCGGCGCTACGGCGAGAGCCACATTTTGAAAAATTAACCGCCCTCAATCCGTGAAGCTATTGCAGTTCTTTTTGTAACGAATGTGCGCGGCGCTAAGGCGAGAGCCACATTTTAGAAAAGGAACCGCCCTCAATCCGTGAAACTTTCGCAAATGTTCAAAACGAGCGCGCGCGGCGCTACGGGGAGAGCCACATTTTGAAAACGACTCGCCCTCAATCCGTGAAACCCTTGCAGTTTGTTGTTTTTCTTTTCAAAAAAGGAGGCAAGATAACGAATGCGCGCGGCGCTAAGGCGAGATCCACATTTTGAAAAGGAGCCGCCCTCAACCCGTGAAGCTCTTGCAATTGTTTTAAGACGCATGTGCGCGGCGGAGCTACATTTTGAAAACGACTTGCCCTGAATCCTTGAAACCCTTGCACATGTTTAAGACGAGTGTGCGCGGCGCTCATGCGAGAGCCACATTTTGAAAAAGACCCGCCCTCCATCTTTGAAACGTTTGCCATTCTTTGAACTTCAGGGTCATAAATGGTGAGGGCGTCTCGGGCGAAACGCCCGGCCCGCCCTAAAAACTGGCTCCAGGGTGCGACAGGGAGACGATTCGCTTCAATCTTTCGATCATTACGGCGGCCCATATTGCCTCGCCACTTTCGTTTGCCGGGGTGTTGTTGTCAATGCGGTGCGGTTGGGCGGCTGCCTTTGTTGGGAAACGGTGGGTGGCGGGTCAGAGGCCTCACGGATGTTGGTTGGGCTCTCGTGGTTGGCTTCTCAGGGGCCTTTGGGAGGCAGTTTTGAGGCCTCTTGGGGGCCGTGTTGGGGCCTCTTGGGGCCTTTTGGGGGCTTCTTGGGGTGCCTCTTGGGGGCCCCTTGGAGCCTCTTGCGGGCCTCCTGGGGCCTCCTGGTATCAACCGATGGCAGCACACGAAGTCTCCTCGGGATGTGCTCGATAGAACAGATGATCTTGATAATCGTATCAGCTCGTAAGATACGCATTATTTTACCTGACTCAGGGGCCCCTGAGCATCAAATGGCAATGGTACCGACACATGTGAAGAAAGTCCTTGCTACACATCATGATTTGCTGAAGCCGCTGAGCTGTGCTAATACACAAGAAAACACACAAGGTTTAACTGGAGTTATATTGACACGGGCGGGAAAAGGAGTTAGCACATATTCATTCAAATCGCACATTGCCAAGATCAGGGGCCCCCGGAACTTTACCAGGAAACGACAGCTGGAAATTCAAAACGGAACAGGACCGAAACTAAAACATATATAAAACGTCACAAACTTCGCGGGTCCACAGCACAAACCAGTCTGACTCGAATGTGAGACTCACCGGCGGTCGCGACAGCGACATTCATATCTCTTTAATTTGTCAGCACACCTGGTGATCGGACTATCTCGCCTGGCAGAAACATGCACAAGGTGTGCTCCTCGGAGCACTCAGTCACGAGTCGGCCTCCGCCGATCAACTTGCTCACGTCGGCTCTGTCGGCCGTCATCCTCCTGCCGGCCTTGCCGACCATCATGTCAAGCTGGCTTCCTGCCAAAACGGTCCTGCCAAAACGGCCTCTGGGTACCCTTTCATCCTGTCACGAGAGCTCCATGAGCGTACTCGGGCAGCGGCTGGAACCTCTGCGTGCTGAGATCCAGGTTGTAGCGACACTGCGACTGGACGAGCACGCTGCGCAACCTTCTTCTGCGTCGTCGGCTTCGGGTCGGTCCTGGTCACCGTCGTCTTGACCTTGACGGGCATTGGTTCTGTCTCGGGCTCGCGTGTATTCTCGATCTTCGTGTCATGCTCAGATTGCTTGGTCCAGTATGTCCACCACACTCCAGCATGAAACCCGCAGTATAATGCCGCAACAAGTCCCATCACGAAGCCGAAAACCATCATCTTCATGGTCAGGTCGTTCCAGTCGGCCGGCGTCGGTGGGTTGAACAGCTCGACGCCGCTGGACGTATACTGCACCACCTGACCTACCGCACTGCCGCCTGCGCTAGCTGCCAGTGCCGCAGCCAGCTTCGCTCCACCTGCGCCAAAGTGGCGCTTGCCCTTGTCCTTCGCTCTCTCCTTCGCCTTTGTCACAGGCGTTGCCTCGAGGGTGTCGTGCAGCGCCTCGCCAGCGTCGTCCAGCTCCTTCTCGCGTTGCTCCATCGCTCTCTTGGAGGAGGAGGAGGAGGAGGAGGAGGAGGAGGAGGAGGAGGAGGAGGAGGAGGGAGGAGGAGAGGAGGAGGAGGAGGAGGAGGAGGAGGAGGGAGGAGGAGGAGGAGGAGGAAGGAGGAGGAGGGAGGAGGAGGAGGGGGAGGAGGAGGAGGAGGAGGGGGAGGGAGGGGGACGTCTCTGGGACGTTTTCTGGGGTCGTGGCGCAAAACGCATGCACTCCACGGCGCAGCGCGTCTGCCATCATCATCTGGCGGGCCGAGGGCTGAGTGAGTCCGTCCGCCACCTGCTGCCGCGTTTGCACTCGCTTCCAGGTGGGTCCTATCTCCTCCTCCTCCTCCTCCCTCCTCCCCCTCCCTCCTCCCTCCTCCCCCTCCCTCCTCCTCCTCCTCTCCTCTTCCTCCTCCTCCTCCTCCTCCTCCTCCTCCTCCTCCCCTCCCCCTCCTCCTCCTCCTCCTCCTCCTCCTCCACCTCCTCCTCCTCCTCCTCCCACATCCTTCCTCCTCCATCTCCCACATCCTTCCTATCTCCTTATGCTATGCATAAGAAAACTTTTTTTTTTCGGCCAGAGTCTCGATTATTCTTAATATTTCAATGTAGATCCTAAGATTGTAATAAAGAAGATGGGTTTTTTTATTCAAGTTCTGAGACTATGAATTTCTTAACCCATGATTTCTTAAGCATTTCGCAGGGTGTATCTCCGTCATCTGCTCGTTCACGATCTTCACCTCGATGGCCGTCCTCTTCTCCGCGATGTCCAGGCCTGCCGCCGCTGAGCGCGACGCGTCGCGCCCGTGGTGAGCGGCGGCTCTCCCAGGTGCACCATCGCTTCTTCGAGCTCCAGGTCGGGTCGCAAGCTCCACGCCGGGTAGACTGTCATCCACATCTGAGTGTGAGTCCACGCCCAAAGCTGCTGTCTGGGCCTCCGCCGACAGCGAGCTCCTGCACAGACGCTGCAACTTCTTCGAGACCCACTCCATGGCCACGAAAGGCGTCGGGGTGTTGGCGTTGAGCTCGTCCGTGGGTCCGATGAAGATCTCGTAGCCTCCTTGCGAACTGCCGTCAAGTCGGCTCGCCCAGCACGCGTCGGTGTAGCTGCCAACTCGCAGGTTGCTCCAGGCCTTTTCGAACCCGAAGTACAGCCCTACCTCCGCGTTGGCTTTCAGAAAGCGCAGATCCTTGTCCGCATCCAGTAGGTCCTGCACGGTGGCTCGGCCTGTCGCCAAAGCTCGGAATGACACAGTAGCCGCTGCTATGATCACTCCTTGGGCTGCCGGCCACTGCAACTGTCCATTCAGTGTCCTGAAGGTCGTAAGCTCCCTCGGCGACGGCGCACTCGCGGTGCATGTACTCGACGGTGATGGGTTTCACCGCGTGCAGGTACTTCTCGAACTTGAGGGTCACGCTGTAGGTGTTCAGGGACTGCTCCATTTCGCCTCCGGTGAAGATCAGACTCGGCCCGAACTCCCACTTGCCGGACGTGAACCTCTCGTCGAGCGCCCCTAGCCGCGCCTGGAAGCACTCGGCGCAGCGTTCGCAAGCTTCGCGTAGAGGTCCTGTTCGTTCGTCACGCCCTCGCCGCATCCGATGAAGTTGTCCACGTGCTTGCCGATCAGGCCGTCCACCGCGTAGGTCTGGCCCTCGAATCTGCGCGCGTCGAACGGGTCGTCCTCGACCCTCGCCGGGCGCAGGGACAACGGCAGGCAATCTTCGGGCTCGTGGTTCCTGAACCCGATCTCCTTCGTGACTTCGTCGGAGCGGTGGTGCCAGAGCTTGGGCGACCGCTGGTCACAAAATCACGGCTTGATCATCTTGAGCAGTTGTCCAGTTTGCAGGCCGATTTGGTGCGAGAGCATCGCTCTCATCTCCTTCGTCGGGTCCGCGTAGAGCTTGAGGCCGTGTACGCTCGCGTCCTCAGCGCGCAGGAATGCGGACTTCACATCCGCGCTAAACAACCTCCACTTCCTCGGAGACGCCCAGAGCATGACCGTGTGTCGGCCAAGCCTGCTGAAGGTCGGCGCCTCCTTGTCGAGCTGGCCATCGGTGATGTCGCGGTGCTTGAGCCCTTGGTAGAGTACGCGCGCGTTGGCCACCTTCTGCCCATCTTCCACTTGAGTAGGAAGCGTAAAGGGCAGCAGGCTCCAGGATCCACATCCGCCTCGTTGATGGACTTCCAGCCGTCGCTGCGATTGCAAACCTCGAGGGCCTCCAGCTTCGCCGAGTAAAACTGGTCCTTCTCCTCGGGCGTCAGCCTACCCTCCACGATGGTGGGGGCTTTCCTCATGAAGGCCAGCATGCAGACCGTCTCGGTGGGTTCTTCCAGCAGCAGCATCTCGTCGTCCACCTCATCGGCTAGCGAAGCCTCCTCGCTCTGTGGGGCGAGCTTCGCCCACGACAGGTGGGCGCGCTTGGGCAGCGGGATGCCGTCCAGCTTCTCAGCCTCCTCGACGCTCCTCTTAGGCATCGCCTCGATGTGGCACCTGCTAGGCTCCTGCGCAGCGCTGCCAGACGCGCCGGCACCGGCCGCTGCTGGTCCGTCGCCCTCATCTTCGCCGGGCGTCGCCGGCTGAGGATCTCCAGGAGCTGCCGCGGCAGCTGCTCCTGTCGGTCCGTCGGTCTCGTCCGTCTCCATGGGTGCCTGGGCGCTGGGCTGATGCTGCTCGCCCATGTCGTCCAGGGTGTCGTCGTACCGAGCCATGCGCCCCTCCTCGGCGAGGTCCTGGTAGTTGCAGGTCCCCCTCGTCCGCCTGAGCACCCGCCTGAGCTTCTCGATCGTGCTGAGCGGGCTGTCGGGGTCCTCGCTGCGTTCTTCTCGTTCGCGGGCCTCGCCTGGCAGCTCGGGGCGAAGCTGCTCGACGGTGCATCGGTAATTAGTTCGTGCATCCGTGCGTCGCCCACATTACCGAGGCGTGCATCACGTTGTCCTCGTTGACCTTCGCCTCCACTGCCACCGCCAGA